ATCGATGCGTACTTTGCAAAAACCCGACAGATTTAAATCGAATCGTGGTTAAGAGGTATATGGATAGATGGCGCTATTGTCTATCAACCTCAATCTCTAGATTGACCAGATACCATAATCGGTTGTTCTCGTTTGACCCAAAATGGCACTTTGACATACGTCAATTTGTGCTATTTATACAAAGTGCCCTGAAATTAATGCAACAAAATTTGGTCATAGATTATTAAAGCAAATTTAGGGGACCCGTATTTTTTATTTTTACCAAGTCCCCCTCTTTCGGTGGTACAGCCCCCTGAAATCCGTCCCTAAGAATAGTCTTTTTTATATATCAGAACCCTGTTGTACGAGAATCACTAAATTTGGTACACAGGGTTCTGAGATATAAAAAAAAACTATTCTTAGGGGCGGATTTCAGGGGGCTGTAACTTCGAAACAGGGGGATACTGGCAAAAATAAAAAATACAGGTCCCCTAAATTTATCTTAAGAATCTGTGACCAAATTTTGTTGCATTAATTTGGGACATCCTTTATAAAACAAAACATAATTGCATGTTTAAATGCCAAAGGTTTCCTAGGCTTTAGAAAATTTAATCCTACTTATTATTTTAATAAAGCGCTATACTTAAAAATGTTTCAAGAACTTCTGATGATGGTTAAAATACATCTGAAACATAATTAAACTGTCACAAGTGTTACATCAGTGAATATAGAACATTAAATATGGAAACCAACATTTCTGCGATTCTGAATAGAAATTCAGGATAATTTTTGGTGGAAAATATATCTGCTTCATGATATGACTTCAACAAAAAAATCACTAGTACATATCTTTTCTTGGCAATGTTACGAAGTATTTATATGTTTCTGAAACTTTTACATTCAGTGACAAATGCAGTTTTTGCAAAGTACGTCTCAATTTATTCAAGCGTAATAAAACTAACTAACTGTTAACTAAATTGCTAAGGTAACTAAAAATAAATCAACAATAAAACAAGATCATAAAGTTATACATATACCTAACGAAAATTATAAATTCACAACATAAATGACATTCTGGACAAATTTATATCAGATTCTTATGAGCGATACGAAATAAATTTTTTAATGATTTAAATAAAAATTCAGATGTTCTGCGAGCAACAGGATAAAAATATTCAACCACCTTGTACGCCGATTTATTTCTTTCATAATTTCTACGTCAGATGACAAAGTATGGACCAAATTGAACAAGAGTAGGTACTAAAAGCAAAACAACTCCTTAAAATATATGTGTCTGCCTTTTTGTCAACCCGCTCACTTCATTCACAGAAGGAAACGACACGTCGACACCCAGTTGTAGATTTCTTGACATACAGAATGTATACTTAATAGTTGGTAGTTACTATATGTCAAACTTTGACACTTACAGTACAAGGTTAGGTTTAAATACCCACTATATAGAGTTTTTTGTAAATGAAACACTAATAACAAGGTGACGGCACTTAACTAATGTAGAATAAGAATCTTTACTTAGTATGTAATAGTATGCATAGCTTAAATTTAGGGAATTTAGGGAACCCCAGAGAGCTTGTCTTCAATGTGGTAGCAACTGACAGGTTCAAACTATTATCGTGGCATATTTCAAAACGGTTACGAAATTTTAACAACAATGTTTGCAAGTTTTCACTCGCGATTTTTAGGGAACTAGCCGATAAAATAATCACATCCACATATGATCAGAGTTAATGTTAAATTTAATAGTTACGAACTTTATAAAGTTCTTGTTTTGGAAAATTCTACATGGACTTTTAATGGATGTTATCAAGAACCTTTATCAACTGGAATTTTTAATTTCCAGTTTTTTCAGAATATAAAAAACCTTTTTCATCAATATCAATTTTATTTTCTTTAACTCTAGACAGAAAATTTAAAATTACTGATTTTTTAATGCTTTGATACATGTTGATGAATTATTTTGTCGCAATATCCTGCTTTAGTGTTTTTTTTTTTTTTCTGAATACGATACTATTAAGAGCCTAATTTAAATTAGAGTGTTACATTTTTAAAGTTTATTTAATGATAAAAGAGTAGTCTAGTTTAAATTAAATAAGCTAAAAGATTAAGTAGAGAATTTACAGCACTCAACACCAAAAAGTGTCTTCTCTCACTTAAGTAAATTAATTTAAATTTTGTACCTGTGCTCGGTGTGTGATTTATTTAAAAATTTAATTTTCCTAGTCTTATAAAGAAAATGTGCTTAAAATTGGTAGAAAAAATTTATGATTAAAATTTGTAAAAAATGTGATCGGTAGTAAATCGACAAAGACTGAAAAAGACTTTAAAAGAGTACGCAAATTATTCGGTTTATACTTTAAAGAGCTGTTTAATGTCTTATATCATTTTAAAATATGCCATAACCCAAAAATGCAAACCATTTCCGTTAATATTATACACTGGGACCAAAAAAAATATACTAATTCATATCCGAAATATCAAAACATGAATATCAAAAAAATTTTTAATAAATCATTTAAAATTTAACAAACTTTTTGTAGAATATATCGAAAAGGTGCAATTTTATGTTTAAATCCGCATATTATACGAAAAGTTTGTTGAATGTGTACAGCTTTATTTAAAACTTAAATATTCCATTTTTTGACAATATGTTAGATTTAAAAGTTTATTTATGCACAACGACCATTTTACTGAAAGTAAAACGGTTTTTGTGCCAAACATCTGTTAGAAATGTACGCGGCACATCGTAAAGTATAAAAAATAATTTAAGGAAACAAATTCTAAATTAGTTTAGTAACACCCCAAGAGATTTCGTTCAGTTCATTGTTAATGATAGTTCGTGTACATTTCTGATGGGAAAGTGTCTCATATTATAAAATTGTGACTATAAATGCCTTTTAGCGTGAAATATTATATCAAATTGTTGTATTTTAACATGTATGGAAAAACGCTGGACAAATATCTCTATTAATATATTATTCGGCAAAAAATGTCCAACGTTTTCCCTAAAATACAACGTATTCTTGTTCGTAAAATATCTGTGACTTGTAAATCATGTTTTATTATAAAGTTAGATGTTTGAACAATTGCTTTGTGGGAAATTGTTATTTTCAGAAAATATTTTAAAACCACAAAAATACAAAAAAATACCATACACATTGTATATTTATAATGTAATTCTGAAGTATACCAGTATTTATTATACTGTGACAACATTAAAATGTTCACCGTTGTTTTATTCATCCTTTTACCCCATTTCACCTGCCTACCTACCTTTTTGAAAACTGATTTAGTTATTTTTTACTGTTATAAAGGTCAAGTTAATTCAAATGAATATTTTTCCTAATGGGTGGATGTTTCATATAGTAACGCTAATTTTTGTTGGAAATAGTTCTAAATATTATGTAAAAAGATAATTGCGATATGCGCCCGCTGAAAAAGTTGTGCATAGTTGTTAGCACAAGAAAATGTAAAAAAAAAAATATGTAAAAAGGTGCATTTTTCTCCCTTCTTTCATGTATAACTCGGAGAATATTGACATTAGAGAAAATAGTCAAAGGAAAACAAGTTTCGCTTTGAGATTCTCTTCAAAAAAAAAGTGGTCCGAAATTTTTTTGTGCATTATTGTTGCTGCAATACAGTAAAGACCGAAAAAATATTTGTAAAAAAAGATGTTTTTTCATGAATTTACTTTGGACCTTGACTTTAGAGCAGTCATATAAAAAGTATGGTTCTGAGTACTTCATGATGTCACACAATTCAATTGTTAATTAAAAAAATGCAGAATTATACTTATTTTTCAATTCAATCTGACGGTAAAACTAATGATTATTTTGAGGTCCCAATTTTTATACTTACCCTTTGGAGTCTCAACTATCAATCCCCATTTAAAAATTTTCGATTTTATCCATTTTAGCAACGACAGTAAGTAGAGTTCGATTTAAGCATTTTCAAGGGTTGATAAGAGATGATACACCATTAAAATGTGACAGAATTTTTTAACCCGTTGGCGGATTTAAAAAATTATTACTTTATTTTATGGGGAATTTAATTCTAAAACTTTTCCTACTCTTGTTAGTTTTCAAAAAACTTTGTCGTTTTCAACAAAAACAACTAATAATACGTATTGTAGCTGTGTTATTTAAAATCATCGAAAATTCAAAAGTTGGCTATGAATTTAAACGTTAAACTTGACGATCCGGAAAAAAGTCGGAATAAGAATAATTTAATAGCAAAACGAACAACTTAAACATATAATATACAATTTCCACTGATAAGTTATAGAAATTGTTCAAAATGATCACCGTTTTCTCTCAGGCATAAATTTATTGTTCGTCGAAAATTGGTCTACTCTATCCAATAATTGCTGACATTTAAATTCATAGCCAACTTTTGAGTTTTCAATGATTTTAAATAACAGCTACAATACGTATTATTAGTTATTCGTGTTTTTGTTGAAAATGACAAAGGTTTTTGAAAACTAACAAGAGTAAGAAAAGTTTTAAAATTAAATTCCCCATAAAATAAAGTAATAATTTTTTATGTCCGCCAACGGGTTAAAAAATCCTGACATTTTAATTGTGCATCACCCTTTAAAATGCTTCAATTGATCTCTACTTACTGCCGATTAATGCAGTTTGTAAGTTTGGTTTTTCCAAGTTCAAGTATATCTGGGATAATGATTTTTTTTTAATTTGAAACCCCAGTTTCAAAGCCTATATTATAAAGGCTGCATTAAATCACCATATTTTAGGTTCCCCTACACACCCCTGATCTGTCGGTTCTTATGCGAAACACCCTATATATTAAGAATGAAAAATATTGCAATAGAAAACAAACACTTAAAAAAAATTATACAACAAAGTGACGCATAATTGATATTTTTCCTCGGATAATATTGCATGTCAGTTAAAACTCGTCAACAGACTATTGATCTCGTCACATATTAATAATAAGTGGAAAGAGAATAGGTAATAATAGTAACGGGTTACAGACAAACTAATCAATATAGACAACTCTTTTTATTCAGCACATTTCTACGAACTGAAACGTAACTTACTTAATCATTTCAAATTATTTACATAGTACAACGGAGTTCCAAGGTCCACACTTTAACGCTACAACATTTTCACCTAAGAAATCATGGAGGTAAGTAAAGGAGTGAAAATTTTCTTTGTCAATACCTGTCAGTTGCTTGTATTTGTTCCACCCACATCCAAATAGATGGTTATTATCTGCAATAGAGTGCAGCACATTTACAAACATTTTTTAGAGATCGCAATCAAATTAAAATATAGCGAATATTATAGAAATCTGTCATAATTATTGACTCACCTAATAAAACAATTGTATGTCGATTTCCACAAGCAACTTGAACGACATTTCTCTGTGAATCGGGAAGATCAACAACATGTTGTGAAGCCATCACTGAAACATTACTTTCTTCACCATTTCCCAATCCAAGTTGTCCGTTTCCATTCCAACCCCAAGTATATAAGTCCCCGTCTTTGCTCAACGCGCAAGAATGCCATCCTCCTGTCGCTATTTGAGTTATCTTAATACCTCCTAAAGCTTCAACTTGAACTGGCTCTGATGTATCATCCAACTGACCATGTCCAAGTTGGCCACGGCTAAAACACTATTCAATTTATATACAAATATGTCCAAACTGAAGTATATTGTTTATACCTTCCTCTTCCAAATGTGTAAACGTTACCAAATTTATCCAATAGTAAACAATGCTCTCTGCCACATTGTATATCAACAATGTTTTCACTGTTAAAAACTAATTTGTTTGGTACATTATACAAACTTCCTTTATCAGAATAAACAATTGTTAGTTTAGAACCACAACTAACGTTAACTATTTGTTCATTACAAGGAAGATTTAAAATATTTGATATATCACAAGGTGTATCGATGTTTGCAAAGTCAATTTTGAATAGTTTTCCTTTATCGTTTACTAATATAATTCTTTCATCATTGCAACACATCTTTATAATCTTTCCACAACTACTAAGGCATATCTGTTTGTTTCTGCATATCACTTTATAACTTCCATCTGTTTTTAAAACAGAAAATGAATGATTAATATTTATATCGTTAACAGAATAACCTCCAAATATCTCCGTGAATTTTTCAAGTACAAGATCAGTTGTGCCCAACTGTCTGTACAAATTAAATCCGTTGCAAAGGAGTTTCATATTATCGATTATTTCACATAAGATTTATGTTGACTGTTAGTGTATTAAGTGATAAACGCGGCATAGACCTCGCACCGCCTTTTTTATGTTTTGTGGTATAATTTTTCACATTTAAAATAACGGCTATTGTACAACAACAACTGAGGATGGTGAGTGAATATATAAATAAGAATTAAGACCTACCACTGCCTAGAAATTTTTTAAAAGTGATTTTGAAAATAGTTAAAACACAATGACATTTTTATACAATCATCACAAATATCACCATAGAAACTTCAAAATCACAATAACAGAAACAAGTTTGCCAATATAATAATGTATAAATATTAAACTAGTTTTTTGAGTTTAAAACTACAATATCACTATTACGTAATTTACATTTTTTGGTTATAATTATTTCACCACTTTTATTCCACATATTGTATGTAGTTGTTTATTGTGAATGGAATTTGTTATGCTGTCAGGTCAGAATGTTGTTTTTTTAATATTTAAATATCGCAATGTTGGTGCTTTGCTTTCTAAGAATTTCATAAATAGTCCGCTAGATGTCCGCTGCCAACGTGTTAAAAATTAAATTTGAATTTAGGGGCTGTTATCGATTTTAAGAAAATTAAGAGCTGCTCCAGAAAGAGAACTCCGATTATTATTGTTAGGACTGGATAATGCTGGAAAAACTACAATTCTTAAGACTTTGGCTTCTGAAGATATTACACATATTACGCCTACTGCTGGATTTAATATAAAATCTGTAATAACTGAAGGATTTAAACTGAATGTTTGGGATATCGGAGGGCAAAGGAAAATTAGACCGTATTGGAAGAATTATTTCGAAAACACAGATGTATTGGTAAGAGTAATTACTAATAAAATTTCGTTTACTTAGGTACTACTTGTAAAAAATATGTTTTACACATTTTTAGATCTATGTTGTGGATTCTGCAGACAAAAAGCGTCTGGAAGAAACGGGCATCGAACTCTACGAGCTCCTTAGCGACGACAAACTCCAAGACGTTCCACTTTTAGTATACGCCAACAAACAAGATCTTCCAGATTCATTAACTGCCGCCGAGTTGGCCCAAACTTTGGGTTTGCCCACCATCAAAGACAGGGCTTGGCAGATCCAAGCTTGCACTGCCTGCCAAGGGACGGGTGTGCGCGAGGGTATGGAGTGGGTTTGCAAGAGTATCAAGAAAAAATAGGTTTTTTATTTATATCATATTTAGTCATATATCATGCTTGATGTGTCTGGTTAAGGATTTTTGTTAGAAAGAAGTTTCAAAATGCTGGGACAAATTTGATAATCAATGCTTAACTTCTAGCTAGTTTGAACAAAATCGGTAGCTGATCAATCCAGAGGTCTTAATATGCTTTGCTTGACTGGCGTTATGCTAATTTTAAATCATTTGATGTGTTCACATGTTGTCATTATAATATGTCCATTAGGCAATCGGAATAATCCAGCTTTGTGTATTCTTTCTAATAAAATTCCTTTAACCCTATTTAAATATTTTTTAATTTTATTTATATCAATGTGTATTATCTTATTTTTCTTCATTATATAGTGCCTTTATAATCTATTTGCATCACATCATTTATATTTATTGTAGTTTATTATTATTACCTACATATTATGTAGAATCGCATTCCGTCCATAGAATAGAGGTGGTATTTTATATATGTATGTCATTTTTTAGAAATAATAAAATATTATTCATAACTGCTTATTGCACATTTTTTTGATATACCTACAGGATGTGAATAAAACGGAATGTTTGGCCAATTTTAATAGTTTATTTTACACCATAAATGTATAAATGAAAATATGTTTACTTTAAATTGAAAAGGACGGATGATGAAACAAATGTGTTACTCATATTATGTGAATCGTATATTTTAGTAATAAGTACTGCTTGCTTTCTGCTTATTTTTCCTTTCTCTGTAGAAAAAAAATGGTACAGGTACAGACCAATGTTTATGAAGTTGTTTGCGATCTCAAAGAGATGTAAATAAATAATTTACTGAATTCACCGCCAAGCAGACTTCTGACACATTGATAAATAATTTACGTAGTTATGGATACAGTAAAATACCTTATCACTATGTATACAACTAACTATATTAATGAATTTATTTATATGTATATTTATACAAACACTGATAAATGCCGCCCCAGTAAAGGTGAAATTCTCAGATGCTAATCGACGCCAAAAGGTCCAACCTACACAACAACACCAAAATTTCTCCGATCGGATCACTCATGCGCTCAGCGATAGAACATTTGTTACACTTTGAAAGTACCTATATACTCTCATTAAGTGGAAAATCCTATATTGGTGATATTTGTTGTTTATTTGGAATTCTTCTATTTTTTTATTATAACAATGTGCACCATACTTTAACAGTTATTACACAATATACAGGGTCGGAAAGTCCCCATGGTATATCGGCCGTTATTACGTAAGAGCGATAAAGTAAGTCATAGAAATCCGTGCGATAGAGAAGGCGGCTCATAGTCAGCGCCCGTTTCGCCCTTCCACGAATAAGATCCACTTCCACTTGTAATTCAGCGACCGGTGATCATCTTTGTTTTCGTCGTTTGGCTTTTCTTTAATAGATGTGACTACTTATACAATTCCGACTCCAGTTTTCTGATATGTTAATACAATCCGTTAACAGAGGGCAGAGTATACTTAAATAACAACTAAATGAACTTTAAATGCAGCTGAGCACTATACTCCATTTGAATAACTTCTCAGTAGGGGAAACAAGGTCACTAGATTTACAAACAGAGGTATCTACTAGCTACTGTAAAAAGTTTTCTTTGTTACGCGTTGTGCTGCCCTCTGTTAACGGATTGTATTAACATATCGGAATACCGAAGTCGCAATTATGCGACATATATTAAAGAAAAGGCAAACGACGAAAACAAAGATGACCACCGGTCGCTGAATTACAAGTGGAAGTGGATCTTATTTGTGGAAGAAGGGCGAAACGGGCGGTGACTATAAGACGCCTTCAATGTAACCATCCTTGTCTATCGCGCACGGATTTCTGACTTACTTTATCGCACTCACGTAACGACCGATGAACCATGGGAACTTTCCGAACCTGTATATACAATGAATATAGTCATGATTGCCATCGGACCATTGCAAATTTATATAGTCTTCTTCTGTTAAATTGCCATACAAACCATATGTTCCCTATTCTCTATATTTTAAGAAAAAAAATACCTTTTTATAAAAGTGTCATATAAACTGTTAAATAATTCTTTTACTTTATTACTTCATTCAAGTTTATGGTGACTTCCGGTAAAACCGGAAGTGGTATTTGGACGCCATTATTTTAGTTGAGAAGGGTATGCCCGAAAACCCGGTATTCCATATTTTCAAAATTCAAATCGAAGTAGTCTCTGAAATAATTCTAATGGGCCAGCACCGTGAGACATCCTGTATGTTACCTACTATACAGGCAGCACAACGGGTACATAACAGATAACAAAACATCTGGCAAGCATGCATGTTTATTAAATTTTTGCACAAGATGACTAGAATAGTTAATCATTTTCTTATGTATTCATCAGTTGCCACACCTCCCTAAAAATTGTGGGTTAACGACCTTGCGAACATATCGTTATTATAGGACAGATCCGGCTTAAAAAAACATAATGGGATTAATAGGATCGATTCCTTTGATACAATTCCATACAAAATGGTAAAGTACCTATTTATGAAGTAAATTGTCATTTTTTTTTGTTTTTCGTTTTTTATTGGAAGTCCACGAAATAATACATGAAGATGTTGATATATGATGAAACGACCTCTGTGAGGATAGAGACAGAATCATATATAACAATTAACAATTTTCGTTGACTGAAATTATTATATTATTTCAATCAACGCAATTTTCATGAAAAAGGATTCTGCAATGCTGTAGTTGTGTTACCCTGTGTAATAGATGGGGCTGCCAAAAACGGTGAAAAGTTAAGTGTAAATTGCAAAGAAATACCAATGCAAGAATTTCACTGTTGATGAAATGATGTAATCAATTGTGCATTTGCCTTTACAGTTACTATAGAAACAGTGCTAATACATCTAGTACCAACATCATCATATATTGTGACCTTTTTTTAAATAAAACAATCATTAACAAGAAATTGGCTAAATACATATTTTAGTCAAATCATTAAAAAAATAAACATGGGAAATGTAAAGAAAAATGTATAATTTATAATTTAAAAACAAACAGTATATTAAAAATTTTTCGACAACACAAAAAAATGGCCTCAAATTTTTATCATCCAAAAGAATGTTGGGATAAGATTTTACTGATGCTTTTAAGTGCTACACTAGAATTTTCTTCAGTGAATAATAAATGCTACGATGAATTTAAATTTTTATATAACGGTCCTGTACACATGTTTCTTAATTAAAGGAGGTTCCGTTTCAAAATACTACGGATAACTGTACCAGATTACCTTGGACCAAAGCGATTAAGGTGAAAATTTTCGGGTTAATCAGTATCGTCGATAGCTATGCCTAAAGCGTGCACTAAAAAATGTGTGTAGGTCAGTATAAATAAGTGGACATTCCAGTTTTTAATCGTTCTTCTGCTACCTACTATGTTACATTCGAAAGCGGTTGTGCGGGAGAAGAAAAATTGATGAAAATGCTCTCGATAATTAAATTTGTCACAGGAACTGAATTATAAAACAGAATGACTTGTTTATATATACAGGGCGTTTCCGAAAAAAGCTCCAAAATTTTAACCACGTATTTAACTCATCGAAAGCAACAACTTTTGTCTAATCATTTTTTACGAAATCTTACATTTATTATTTTATCACATGAATATCTAAAGTAATGTAGGTTCGTAGGTACCTACTCGAATGTTTTATGTAATTACTCACTATCTTAAACATTTTTAACTAGAGTTTGTGTCGATAGTTCGACGAGGTATTAACAATCGTGATTGTGCATCATGCTTACAAAAAGTGAATACGTTGATATGATGTTGAATAGTAAACGAATGTCACAATGGACTTGCATTTTACCAAAACGGTTAAAATGGTCGAAGATATATTTACACTTTTCAAGTAACGTGCTAAATGATTTACTGAATGATGTTCTTCGAAACATGTAGCTTCTTCATGATCACGCTTTTTGCCATAATGCTCGAATTTAGTCAGCATTGTTGTGGACGGTGGATTGGTAGTAATTTTTCAGCTATAGAATGGCCGTTCGTTCGTCAGATTTGATTCCGAGCAACTCTTATTTATGGGGTCTTTGGAAATAGAAACCTGGTGAATTTAGTTAATACTGAAATACAAAATTGAATATAAAATGCCGCCAAAATAATCAATCGATGGAAGAACAAACCACTTAATTTAAGATTATAATGTTTTACAATATACAGGGTGTATCTAAATAATACCGAAAAAACGTAAGGGAAAATTAATAGGGGTCTTTGGTATAAAATTTTTTGAAAAAACTCCTCTCCAAAAATTACAAAAAAAAAATTGTTTTTGTTTTTTATCTTCCATGTACATCAAGCAAAAGAAACCAAACTTGGTAAACATTATCTGTCAAACTTGAACCTTGAAGTATGTTTGTAAGAGGTTGAAATAATGAACCCTGTGACATTTATTCTTATAATTTATTTTCGATAAAATTTTTTCCTTTTAAAAAATATGTCTACAAAGTCCCATTCATTTACTAACTTTTTGATCTTTTCATGTTTTTTCGAAAAGTTAAGGATTTATGAGAAAAAAATAAATGTATTGCAATGCATTTTTAAAAAGATGAGTTATTCAACGCGAGTGTATTTTGATTATTTCAACCCTTTACAAACATACTTAAAGGTTGAAACAATTTCGAAGTGTAGTTTTTCTGACAGATAATGTTCACCAAGTTTAATTTCTTTTACATGGAAGGTACAAAAGAAAAACATTTTTTTTTAAATTTTTGGAGGGGCCCTGTATATACAGGGTGTTGTTGAAATAGGTGCGTTCCAACAAAGGGGCAACAGAAAAAATATTTTAAGCCAAGAGTTTCAATGAATATAGGTCCAGGGGCCTCAGAACTTTTACGCCAATGATTAATCCGCAAATTCGATTAATACTTTTTATTACCAATTGTCACTTTTGACACGACTGTAGATGAAAAACTTTCTTTCGTCTTCTGAAAGATTGTTACAGTTACTGGTACTACTTCTGCTTTTGTATAAATATCTGAAAGTTAGATATACCTAGGTACGCTTAAAGTGTTCATAATTTGGAATCCTTATTGTTATTATTGCCTAGAATCGAGCTTTCATAAGAACTTTGTAGGTATGTGGGTACCTATAGCCTAGGCAATAATGTGAAAATAATGGTCATTAGGATCAAGTGCTGTCTTCACAAAACTGCTTTGTAGAACTAGGTAAGCATTAAGAATAACTTTTATCGTGCAAGGAATGTTTTTAGTAACAAATAAATTACACCTTTCAAGAATTAGTTGAAAAATCTCATATCAAATTTCTGGAAAAGTTCAGCAAAATATTGTGCAACTTTTTTTTATAATTTGAGGCTCCCTGTATACCCAATAGCTCACGATATCCCTATAGCGTTCCATTAAATAGTTTTGACTTGGTATTATCTATTTTTTTGGTAACTAAGTTACTTTTGCAAGCTTTTTCGTTACACTTACTTGTGATGGGGAGGAAAGGGAGTGGGTTTCTGAGCCCCCAACAAAATGAGGTATAATAAATATATCTTCGTAAAAAACACACCTCATAAACGTGATTATTCATAATAATCAAAATTGAAAACTATACTCACAAAGAGCATCAGCAAACAGTGATTTATGGCGCTGAATTAAAATTATGCTTACGATGTACATCATCTTCGTTTTTGTTCTTGCTTGACGCAAATTGGTTTGATAGAAGAGCGAGTTCACTTATCACAGCAGCATGTTTACTTGCGGTAGCTACCTGTGCCACTGTGTACAGTAATGCTTTAGTTGTGACGATAATATGTTGCAATAATCTTTGCCAACCACAATTAGCTACATAATAGCAGCAAATAATACAAAAACATTTTACTAATCACAAATTAAACGTATACTCGTGTAATATATATAATTTCTCAGAAGTGTAGAAATTTAATTTTACTTGTGAATATTCAAAATTTCTATGCCACTCTAAAAAAATTGTATTTTTTTGAAAACTTATTTAGTTCAGAAGTCTGAGACTTGTGCGGGTAAGGGGACGGCGTATTATTATTCCATAGGATCTAGAATCCTAGAATTCCACTTTGTCCTACATTTTCCACGAATGCAAAACGTTCACCGCTTTATCCTGCCTAATTACCTGACCAAACGACATTTAACAACCTCAACCAGTACGTCGTCGCCGTCGTTTCGTATACCTGCCTTTTAGTACCATTCCGGCTAGCACCGTTCTCAGGTACCGTTACCAGAAGTTACTCGCCTTTGCCTGACGTCATTAGGACTCTTTAGGTGCTGCATGGTACATGGTATTCGTGGTAGTTGATCGAGGTGGTGTTGGTGGGTGATTATGTGGATGAGAGACGTTGAAGAATTAGTTACAAGTGTCGTCTGAGGGTAAATTTGCGCTATTTAGTTCGACCTGGGGGAATGCGGTAGAGTAAAACAGCATTTTTCGGTAAGTAGATGTTTAAAATTGAAATGGTCATTCATATTTTCGTTTGTGAGGAAGTGAGTGGTTATATTTTGAAGAAACCAGGTATTTATAGTAAAATTAATGTACAGGGTGTTACTGAAATCAATGTGCCACATAAATAATCAAGGTATATAATTTAATTTTGCAAAATTTGAGTAAAAAGTATAAAAACTCTACCTAAATGTCACCAAGAATCTAATTGTTTGAATAATGAACCTGAGCTTAACTTTTATTAGGTAAAAATTTATGTAATAATTAAGTAATTACATTAATTTTTTAAACAGGCAGTCAAATTTTTTTCTTACCTTTATATTTATTGGCGCCAATAAAATTCTTTTTTACTTTTATTTTACCACTGACATTGAAAAATTTAATTATATAGTAACTGTGAAAGTCCTTATTATTATGTTTTCTTCGCAAGGTTATTGGTTACCACAGTCGTCCCTGTTTCAGTTTTTTTCGGATAGAATTCGTTCTAACTGTAACAGGTATGTAAATTTAAAAAACTCTTAACTACGTGTCGAAACGTGGAAAAGGAGAAAAAATTAATAGGTGCTTAGATATTAGTTAAATTATTATTTGACCCAAAATTAGCTTTAAGATAAAAATTGTATAAATAAATAATCGTGTTAGGTACACTTAGTTCTTTACTTTTAAAATATGCTTCCAACAGATGGGGAAATAATAGTACTAAAAAACTGCAGTTATTTGTTTAGCTGTTAGCGTTGAGGAGCTACAATTTGCCAAATAACGGTTCCACAAAAACAGTTTTAGTTCAACATCATTATAGTACAGTTCCATATTAAGCGAAGCTATGCGGCGAAGACTAAATTAAAAAAGCACACATAAAACTTATTTTAATAGTGATACTAATTCAAGAAGACTTAATTTTAACGGTAAATAAAAACCATCGATCTTACGAGGTGTGAATAAATACATAGGGTACCTACTGTTTCTTATTTAAATTATTGTATGTATAGGTAGTGTGTTTCGCAGTATAATTTTGCATTTAAATTCAAATAGACTAACTATGTAACGCTAAAAACTATACAAAAAATGTCAAAATCTGTTTCCTGTTTTGACAAGAACTGCGAAATGTAGATTTTAATAATAATCTGTTTTAGATTTACAAATTGATTGAGATATTAGAGGTAATAAAACTGTTTTTAATGTACCTATTATTATTTTGGCGATATTTAGTGACCTAATATTTATAGATATAGTAAAAATAGATATATGTAGGTACGTATTTGTCGTTGTTGTCGTGGTGGTTTGCTATTATTATGAGAGATTGTTATTGTAAACTTAAATTTGACTAATAAGACTATTTATTTACCAATTTATTGTAACGTATAAAAAGGTGCCACATATATAGCAAATTCGCCATTTCTTAAACTATTTACTAGAGTCATTAATTGTTAAGTATAAGAATATTAATACTTTTTAAAAAATGTGCAAATATTTTCATTTTTTAATTTTTATTCATAGTTCCATAAAAATTAAGCAAAATTATAGTTTTTTAAAAAGCAATTCATTAAATACGAATCTTTAGTCTAATTCAGCGGTATTCAAACTGTGTTTCGCGGAACCCTGGGGTTCCCCACAATTTTTCTGGGGATTCTGCGATTCAGTCAAGAATTCAAAATTTTGAAATTAACAATACCAATACTACAAAATTCAAAAAAATTTATACCTCTACTTAAAACTAGTATTTATAAATATTTTTATATAATCAGTAAAAAATGTGTTCCAAAATTTTTCTAGGTGTGGGGTCCTCAATAAAATCGAAATCTTAGCCGAGTTCCGCAAGTCATAAAAGTTTGAAGACCGCTGGTCTAGTCGAATTAGATCACAAACCCTGAAAACTTAAAAAAAATATTAAGAAGTAGACATTTTATTGCCTCTATGACGATGAAGTAGGTAGGATGATAATATCAAAAAAACTAAATCGAAAGAAGTGACGCTAAGTTGGCAAATTGTAAATAAGTGGCAAAATTTTTTAATTTTTTTTTGTTGTCCATGAAAATCTAGACGATTTATCGAAAAATTAGTTATTTGACGTTGTAGTCAATTAAATTGTTTACAATTTAAGATCTAAAGTCATATTTCACCAATTTTTTAACTGTGTAATAAAGGTCGAGCGCGGAAAAATCGGTTTTTGAAAATTCCGCATTATTATTGCAAAAAGTGATAGATATTGAAGAAATTTACAGAAAAGACAGTCAATCCAAAGACCAACATGTGTGGCAATGGCCGATTCGATTGACCTTGAAATTGTTGCTCCAGGTATTCGTTAATTAATTTCGTTCGATTTTATGCAACTAATTATTTAATTACCTACTAAACATTAATTTTAGAAGTTAATATCGTAGACATAGGTTCTACTTGATCCAAAGAAACGTATCGTTCCAAAAAGTTGGAATTAAGTTGCTCTTTATAACTAACAAAGTAGGATGTGTAAAACAGCGTTATAAATCATAATTGTCTCAGGGTCAGGCAAAAGCCGCTCGGGAACTCGCTCTTTTCGCGTTAAATAGAGCTTATTTTTTACGGTAATTAAAAAAAAGAAATCACCTACGCCTCTTTATTCCCAAGATGTCTTTTTTATAGCATTAATTGGTGTAAACTCAAAACAGCTACCTGTAACAATCGGTGTTCCACAAGGGAGTGTACTAAGACCTCTACTATTTTTATTATATTGCAATGACTTGGAAAGCTGTATATCAACCTCTTATACTGCATTTGCGGATGACATAACAATGTTAGCTTGCCATAGACAACAAACATATATGACAACATTGACAAATGTAAATCTTAGAAATATACAAGCATATTTTCAAAGGAATCGTCTTGTGATGAATCAAGAAAAAACTTATATATTACAATTCCACCCCTTACCTTCTAATTATACTAGTAGTCCTTTGGTATCATTGAACAGGAAATCTATCGAACAGGTGACTTGTTTTAAGCTTTTAGGTTTACATATAGGCATGCATTATGCTTTGCTCTAAGGAAGTTATACTACATGGCTGATCAAGATGCTACTAGGGTATTTTATCACTCAAATTTCGAATCAATAATTCGCTATGCAATAATGTTTTGGGGCAACTCAACAGCTTCCAACTGAATATTTATACTACAAAAACGTGCCTTAAGAAATATGTTCGGATTAAGGTATTCTGAATCGTGCAGATCTACTTTTGTAACAAAAAAGTATTAAGGCCTTGTTTATACGAGCTTGAAACTTTAAAATTTGTCAAAGAAAACATTGCCAAATTTAATCTTCAAAATAAATTTCATGATTATCCTACAAGATATGGAACAAATTTTCAATATGACTTGCATAGAAGAGAACTTTATAAGTCAAATCCATATTATATGGGTGCGTTATTATATAATAAATTATCAGCATCTATAAAATGCCAAAATTTTACTAGATTTATATTTTTAATAAAAAATATATTGCATCAAAATGCTTTCTATTCTGTGAGCAGTTACTTGGCATATGATTTTAAATAGTTTATTGGTTCTTTTCTTTTATTGTTAACAATTATTGAAATATTCGTTTTTTATGATATTTTAATACTCTTGTATATGTTTCAATTGTATTATGTTTCTATTAGTCTTTACTACTCTGTATGTTTTGGAGTGTGCTATATCCGATATTGTGATCTAGTGGACTAATAAATATCTATCTATCTAATTGTTAATTAACTATCAGATCGAGATTTTAGAGACAATTAAGGAAAGGGTTATACTTTTATTTTAAAAAAAATTTTACATTCATGGAATAAACGCACTAGCAGTAATAAAAGTTAACGTTGATCGTCTTTTCCATAAATAAAATAATAATTTTTGAAAACTGAATTTTCGGCGTTCGACCTTTATTTTACAGTTAACAAATTGGTGAAATATGACTGTAGGTACTTTAAATTGTAGATAATTTGCCTACAACATGAGATAACTAATTTTCCGATAGGTCATCTAGATTTTCATTAGCAGCAAAAAAAGTGAAAAAGAACACGTTATTTTGCCACTTAGTGTCACTTCTTTCGAGTTAGTTTTTTAATATTGTGATTCTACAAACCCTTCTTCGTCATATGTAAAGTGCAATGAAAATGCTACTAATAATTTTTTTACGTTCAACCTCTACAACATTCGACTGGATTACTTGTACCTGTATTAATCTTATAATCAATAATTAATGATATACTTAGTAGCATTTAGAAAGCAAACAATTTTGATCAATCATTCCCATTATATCACTATAATTTTTGGAGATTTTTGTAAACATCTTCACTGATACAATGTTATCTAATCTTTTACTTATATCAAATAAACTTTATACCTGCACTTGTTACATTTAACTATATTTTCTAATTATTCTGTGAATGCTCGGGTGAGTGCTACTTTATTTTATTATTATACGCTGCAAAGAACATATGAATGTGATAAACAATGTTAGGCCGTTTCTGCTCTGTAAGTTTTTTTTAAATTAGACATGGAAACATTATAAACAATCTTTAAGTGTTCATTATATCTACGCATTGCTAACAGAAAATGTAGGATAAGTATATCTTAGAAGCAATTACTGAAGCTTATAGCATCTTGGAAATAATTATAATTATAATTAAAATATAAATACTACAGTTTGTGATGTTAAAATTCATTCACACCAATTCATATCTCTGCAATGTTTAGTTAAGCTTAGTGCCAGAATTAGATAACATATATTCACTCAAGATACTAGGTACTTATGGTTTATTTCAAAAACATCACCTATATTATTTCGTTTTGGTATAACTATACGTAACTACTTTTGCTTTACGAAATGTCTCACACTGATAATATTTTCCGTATAATTTATATTTAAATTATAGAATAAATAACGATGAGATAATCCTATGATTACAGTCATTGCAGATTCCATATCTAATAAGAAAAACGGTACTTTTCTTATCTTCCGGTTGGTTAACATGAACTTCTAAGTCAATTTGCATGATTAGAACATAAATCTAGTAATGAATAAAATATGTCTTCTCCTTTTCACAATCGAGATATAATATATCTCTTATAGAAATTCGCTTCCCTGCACAGAGCATATACTATTTTTATCTGCGCCTGCATATTAATTTCACGTATTTGATATAGACAATGGTACGGTACACTAAAAGTATCTAAGCAAAAAGTTTTTGCTTTAGACGAATAGTTTTTAAAATATCTGTTATTTCGCATTTCCTGTAAGAGTCTTCCTCATCTACCTATCTTCTCTATTTCTTCTTTCCATTCTTTCCTTGGTATTCCCCTGTTTCTCATCCCAATCTGTTTTGTTTCTACTGCGCTTTTAACTGAGTTACTGCTATTCTTTCTAGTTGTACATATTTTCTCGCCAACCCAGTTGATTTGTTTTTCTGTTAACTATTATGTTCTGTTTTCCTTCCCATTTTGTTATTTCTATTATCTCTCTCATTCTCGTAAACCGTTGTTAGGCTTATTGTCTTTCATTTTCCCCATGATTGACTTACATGTATTGTTGTTAGACCTACTATTGCACTTACTTTTTAATTTTATGTCTTTACTTTTCCTTTTTTTCCGGACATAGATTCGTCTTCTTTACTCTGTTATATGTATACAAATCTATTTTTCCATCTATTTCCATGTATCAATATGCTGTTGATCTCTCTAAAGCCATTTCCTTTGCTACTATTTATCACCATCATTAATACTTTTCCTATATTTATTCAATTTCCATCTGTCTATCTCTTCCGTCCATATGTTGCATAATTCTTTCAGCATTATAATTGATGTTATAGTATTGTGTCATCTACATACATCAAACTGTCACTTTTTATCGATCTAAGGGGGTTAAACTGTCCCATTGCTTCACTCCTAAAAAAATTAACATTAAATAACATTAAAGTCCTGAATATCATAACACCTGTTGTATATTTAGATCGAGAAAACTGTAGTTGTACAGTTTTATTTTATAAAATTTTTAATACATTCATATAACCCACTTTCTCGTAGAGACGAATCTTGAGACTAGCTTTTTAGCAGCCTTAGGACACAAATATTTTGGACTCCTGTTCTGTTTCAGATAAAAAACACACTCACCAAATGGCCAGATATTACATTCTCCTTCTAGTCACACTCTCATTCTTCCATCCTTCCCTGCAAGACACGAACGACAACGATGTCGATACAGAAGACGTCAATCCTTTTGCAGAAGCTGCTGCAGCAATCCTCAAGGAACAAACAGGACAAAACATCGGATCGATGGTGAACCAATTCATGCAAAGCGGAGGAGCAGCGAAAATTGGAGACGCTCTCTCTAGATTGGGTAGAGAGAATACTGGACAACTCCTCCTAGGCCTGAGCTCTTTAATACGGTCCAACGACAAGGAAGAAGACGGTGAAGGTAATTTTGTCGTCCTTCATTACTTGTTCTTTCTATATTCTCCTTATAGGTGATAGTACTGCGAACCTCCTAGGAAGTCTAGGAAGCCTTATGGGAGCTCTTCAAGGAGCAGGAGGCGGTGACAGCGACAACGCGGCTGGAGCCATCCTGCAAGGGTTGGGTTCCCTCCTTGGAGGTCAAGGCGGACGTGAAGGTCAAGGAGGTATCGATCCTGCCATGATAGGTTCGCTCATCAACATGTTCGTGAATCAGAAGCCCTCCCCAAAGTCTTCCAAGCCTGCGCAGAAGAAATCTCAAGCTAAGGTGGATAGAACCAGACCTAAAGATGAAATGAACTTAGATCTGGGTGATATACTGTCCCTGGCAGGAAATTTCCTTGGTAACACGCAAGGTGACAATCCTGCGGGAGGATTGTTGAACTACTTGCCTATGATTATGCAGACTATCAGCGCTTTTAACAGCCCTGCTTCAAAGAAACGCGCGGAGAGTCATTCGGACCATTCCTGGATGTTGCCGCCTTTCTTGGAGAAGTTCCACATAGCTTTCGACAATTTTATCCATTCTGAGATGGGCAAACACGTCATAAATGCGATGGGTGCGGAAAAAGCGTTCAAGGTTTTCACCGACGAGAATGGTAGGTTTAATTACCCCAAGTTTGTCGAGATGATGGAGAACAGATCGTTCAGGAGGCATTGGATTCGCATGGTTACCGATAGGATAGTGGATATGCTGCAGTACGCCCATGATCCGAATGTACAGAAGTCGTAAGTGTATTCCTCAAAGCTATGTATAATGTATATGTCTGTAGGCCTTTGAAACATATAAAGTGTTAATAATTTTCTAAAGCAGTGTAGTCCAGTCACTGAAGGCAAAAATAAAGTAAAAGCTCCCAATTTTTTCGGATAGCATGGATTTTCCTGAAAATTTGCATACAAGCTCATCTGACTCCCCACTTCAAAAGTTATATTGTCTAGATGTGTGTTTTTTTCTATTTGGGGATTCGCAGATTTACGTATTTTAAAGATTCAATTCATGTTCAAATCTGTTGGATAAAGTTCCTTTCATGTTTTTTAATATAATTTATGAAATTTAATTACTTTTCAACCCTTAAAAATCCTTAAAAACTAACCTTTCATGGCCAAAAAAGTAGAAAAAAAAAGTTTTTAACGGTTTAAAATATTTTGGTGCATTCACAATGTATTGCATTTCTTTTGTTATTCATTAGAAAGCTTACGACTCATTACAAAGTTGCAACCCTTAAAAACCACCCCTTATAATAAAATAAACAAAAAAATATTATTGAAAGCTAGAGATGTTTTAATGGTATGCATATGTTGAATTATAAACTTTTTATTGATTTTCAAATGATCTTTGATATATTGCAACTTTTCAGCCACCCAAAAAACCCTTATGACCCTTACTACCTACCCCTCATAAAAAACCCTACCCCTTATAGAACAATTTCCTAAAAATTATATGTATGATGATATAAGTCTAATTATTTTTTTTTTAATTTTATTGAATTTATTCTTAATATTTTTTAATTAAATTAATATCAAATATACATCATATACATGTGAACTCGGATACGTGTGTGTATGTATATTATTAAAATACTTACTCAAATCAGTTAACAAGTGGTCCAAAATACACAAAGATGATGGTAATTTACCCGCACCAAAAATTTTATCGAAAAAATGCGATTAATTTTTTTACCATAACTTTTGTAATTTTAAAGTTATAAATTTAATCAAAAAACCATTTTGTAGGGAATTTAAAGCACTTTAAGTTCTGTGATTTGCAGTTTTTTTGAGCCCTTCGTTTTTTAGATTTGTAAGCTAAAAGAGCTCAGGAAAGGTAGTCTTGGAGCTTAGTTTTGAGCTTTTTACGGTCATAACTCAGTCAATTTTTTTCTTACAAAAATTTAAAAAAAGCAAATTGTTCAGTAAGAAAAAACCTACAATTTCTTATTCTATCATTTTTTTATAACTTTGTTGGTTTTTGAAATATTTTGAAAAAAGGCGAGTTTTTAAAAAATTGAAAAATTTTGTTCAAAAGTAAATGATTTTTGTTTAGGCTTCTAATTCAAATACCCAGAATCTACTGTTAATACATAAATAAAGTAAGTTACAGAAGGGATACGTTTAATTTTTTTCCGTCAAATCATTAATTTTAATACCGATTTTTTTTCCTCAAAAATCAAGACAATCATTTTATTTTGATTGTAACTTCATTAGTTTTTATGCTAACGACTTCTACCACCAGTCAAATTAAAGGTCCTTTCAAGAACTTTAATAGGTGTTATATAAGTTTTTCTCGAAAAACCTAATTTTTCCGCTACAGAACGTTGAACGTTTCCATTATAGCTACCTTCGAAATTGACTTCAACTTCTGGGAGTCATAACTCGGGTTCTATACCACCTACAAAAATAAAAAAAGCAATATCTATGCTATTTAATTACCTTCATTTTTGCTTATGATCATTTTTTTGATAAAATTTATAGTTTTTGAGATATTCGCGAAAAATGGCTCAAAAACGCATTTTTTAGGCTAAAAACGAACATGTTTAGGCGCAAATAACTCAAAAAGTATTGACTGTACAAAAAATTCTTATAGAGCATTTTTTGCTTATCATTTGTCCCTCTATCGAATCGTGAGGTTATTTTTAATTAAAAAATTCCCACCCTCCAGAAGGGGTGGCATCCACCCCTAGGGTAAAAGCACACATCGGCACTATATAACATTTGTTTCTTGGGCTATTCCCTAGCTACAGTTCAAATTTCACGTTAATCCATTCCATCCGAAAAAATTGATAGCCAAAATGCTTCAGTGACTCGACTAGTGGCGTTGAAGCTTTTGTAAACTGAACAAAAGAATTATATTAAAGTAAATTTATTCTGTGATTAGAAACATCACGAGAAATAAATGTGCTGTGTTTTTCCGAAACTAATAATTTCTATAGGTCCTGTATTCGAAATACACAATTCTATAATTTTCTAATTCAAAGTGACTTCCCGTGTTTGTTTTGAGAGTTGTCATCAATGCCAAAGTAATTTCGCAAAAACGTGAGTTTGCAAGCTCATGATTTAGACACCAAGAAAGAAAATTCTTATTTTAACATTCTGTCAACATTTATCTCAAAAAAATTTCAATAAATTAGTTGGAATTGTCTTCAATGAAATACAACTTCTAAAAACGGATTATTATAACCTGTATCTTTCATAGTCAAAAGTTCCTCCTGGAAAATATTCACGGATGTTTCAAATTGAACAAACTTGATTACATATCTACTGTAAGTACCATTTTCAATTTAGGTTGGGTACAAACTTACCCTTATATTTAGGGCTGTTACAGACCTATACATATAATTTGTCAATAGACAATTGTAATTTCTACAAGTTTTTAAAACCAGTGGGACCAGAATATGATCAAATCCTATTAGTAAAACATGCCGAACACATAAATATTTACGATTTATTGGATAATTATCACAACTTATTAAGGTGCATCTAATTTCTAATTATAGTCAAGTATGGTAGGGTAGCGGGTCACTAACAAACATCTGATCAAACTGTTGTTCCAGATCTAGAGTATATTATGTTACTGATTTGGGGTGCTTCACCAATTATTACAGCACAGTGTACAGAGTTAAAACATTACAAAATCAGAGAATACTTAAAGAATAAGAAAATAGTTCACTGAACATATATCCAGAAGAGCTTCGTTTTTGTTTATATCTTCCAAACAGGTTAACCAAATGAATTCAAATTTGATCAACCAAATCCGTCTGAGCCGACGAATTTCGAGTAATTACATAAACTGTGATATTTGCGTATTGCAGATTCGTATGCATAGGTCCTAAGTCGGAGAAAAAAATTGAATTTCATCGATTCCAGCGACATGTTTCAGATAAATACTACTTTTAGCCATAGGATCCGAATCTGCAATAAAAAGGATTCCTGTTTAAGATTTTAAAGTTACCCATCGCACCGCATACTAGGGAGTGGGACTAATAATTTTAGCACTGCTGTATTTCTTCCGCGGAATGATTAAATTTGAATTATAGTCATTTTTTTCGTAGGGTATTTATTTCTCGAGATATTTGAAAATTTGAGGTTTAAAAAATCACCTGATATATAAGAGCTGGTTTATAGGAAAATAAAATAATACATGATTAGGTAGCTTTGTAAAACAAAAAGTTAAAATGGTTGGTAAAATGACGTTTTAATTACATATAATTTAGATAGCCTTGGAATCAATGATAACTGTTGCAAAACTATCGTCATTAAAAAGCTTGTTAGTCCGTTCATATACTATAATTGCACGTAAAAAATACTGATAATAAAGTATTAGTCAAAGGTAAATAACAGATAGTGTTCTTGACATATACTATTCGATACAGCAACAAAGTACATAAAAAAAAAACACTTTCATGAATCCATGATGATTTTTGACTAATTGAAGATTACATGATTTCAGGTACCTTGCCAACGCACAGTTCTTCATCAACAGCTTTCTAAAAGCACAAGGTTTTCCTAAATCTACGCTTTTCGACTCTGCCAAGCCCACCGAGACTATCACAGCTCTCGTCAACTACGTAGCTAAGAAATATTTCGACTTGAAAATCTATTCGAAAGAGTACGTTAAAGCTGCTGTGGCGTACGTCCAGGTATACAGTTTATTTAAATTTTCTGTCTTTTGAATCTCATTAATTCTTTTTGTTTTCAGGAATTGGCTCGTTTGACCCAGAAGAACGCTTCGTCAGGGAGTGAAGGCAGTGCCCAATTGTCGGATAAGCTGGCAGATACTATTAATTTAGAGATTATAGAGCCGATCGCCAGAGTTAACAGGGCTTATAGGTTTACAAAGTCAGTGCCGTCCTGCGACAGGTAAGAATTTGAGAAATTGTAAGTACATGAATAATAAATATGAATGCTTCTCACATTCGGTTGCTATCTTTGATCTTTAGAAACACTTACCACAAATTTCTATTCATTAATTTCGTCATGAGAACGCATTTTTTTTGTAACATTTCGTGTTCCTTAAATTTGCGTACAACTTTACTTATTTTTTGAAATTCTGGATAATTTTACAGGTACGTTTTCTGTTTGGTCAACGAAGAAAACACAAATGAACAGGAAGGCTTGCCGGGTCTTAAAAAACTACTTTACAAAGGCGCCAGTCTTTTGGCGAGTTGGTTCTTGAGTGGCGAAACTGGAACGCCTTTTTGGACACTGTACTCAGATATTACCGATGGTAACAACTGCAAGGTAAAATAGTTATGCCACTGCCTAAGTTATTTTAGTGAATTTGAATAAATTATGTAGTTTAAGGTTAATATTTAGTTACACTGAGAGAAATTTCAGCTTGAATCATTGAATACACTATAAAAAGTGTTTGTTTAAAGATGGCGATAAAACCTTTACAATTCTTAAATAAAAATAGTTTCGTCATCATTGTACTAACTTTTCTGTTCATTTTCTAGGCCCTATATTCCGAAAAATGCCACGATTTCCACGTAGAGGAGATAAAAGTGACGACTGAGTATGTACACAGTGAACTTTAAAAAGTGATTTTGTAAAATTTGTAGAATACATTTGCTCGCTAGATATGCGAAGCTCATCTAAGTTAATTGGGCGCAACAAACATATTTAGCGAGCGAACAGTGTCAGGTTATTTATTGTGTAAAAATAAGACTTAAAAGTAATATATAGGTATATTAAGAATTTGAATTTCATTTCAACTCCCCTGTGTTTGTACTTTGGAGACATTATTCGATAGGGAACTGAATATGCATCTTTTTGACAGATAAAACAAAATATTATGAAAAAAGTATGTATGCTATAGTCTGTTTAGAAATGAAAGAGAGTAATAAAAGTTTATTATGTATGTAAATCGTAAATAAATGTAGTACTGGTGCTTATATTCAATATTTTTATATTATGTATTTTCGGTATAGGGGAGGTGTACTTTTAAAAAAACTTTGTGTGACCGGGTTGTACTAAATTGTAGCAGGTAGCTAAAATTTAATCCCCGACAATCCGTCTTTGTCTATGCCGCTTCAATTTCTCGGTCCATTTCTCTTATAAGTAAACAATATAAAAACAGCATTTCAAAACATGAGGCTACTTTAAGCATCATAACCGGGTTAAGAGGGTTTTTAGTAATTCAAATAAAATTATTCAATATTATTATCAAAATATTTATTTAAATTTAATGAATAGACTTTTATTCCACACAAAAATATATGTATTTTGAAAATTCAAATTATGGTGAGTAAATGTAGTGTTGTATAAATGTACAATAAAGAAAATAAAAAAGTAGGTATATTAAAATTCATCCTCTGAATATTCTGATGAATTATCTTCGTCTCCTAGATTGATAACGATAGGTTCCACAGTAACGTCAATTAAATTATCGAGTTCCCACATTTTCTCCTCTTCTTTTTGTACATGATGTATACATCTTTGCCAGTTATCTGCAGTTACTCGTTCCAAGGAATTTTTTAACAAAATTTTCACGTCACTTAATTTAAACGTCGTATTATTTCGCGCTACATCTCCTTTTACCTGCGCCCAGACTAATTCGATTGGGTTAAGTTCACAGTGATAAGGTGGTAACCGTAGTACCGTTATTTGGCGATTTGTTGCCATTTCATCGATAACATATTTTTTCTGATCTTTATTAAGATTGACAAGTGTCAAAAGTTCCTTTTTCACCATATTTGTTTCAAAAGAAATGTTTTTTCCGGATAACCATTGAATTATATCGGCTTTCCTCCAAGCAGTCGTAGGCGTCCGCTCGGTCTGCCGTGAATGGTAACTGGCATTATCCATGACAATTACAGACCCCGGAGGAATAAGATCCAACATCTGTGTAAAATACTCTTCGAAAACATCTGCGTTCATGTCTTCGTGATAGTCACCTGTATTTTTAGATTCAAATAAAAGTAAACCGCCATCTACAAAACCACTGGCACTACCTATATGTGTCACTATTAATCTTCGCCCTTTACCTGAAGGTGCCTTGAACCCTGTTGAAAGTCCATCCAAAAATGCTTGTCGAAAACTTTTTACATTTTTATCTTGCCATACTTTTGTTACAGTATATCCCTCGTTGACCCAAGTTTCGTCTAGATAATAAATATTCCTCCCTTCGTCACGGAATTTTCTAATTGATCTTAAGTAGGATCTTCGCCAACAAATAATTTCATCTTTATCGATAAGAACTGACTTCCTGTTCTGCTTTTCCCAGCAAAAATTCAACTCTCGTAAGACGGCCCATAATTTGCTTCTACTGATTTTTGGCAAATCGTTGTCCTCTGAAAGTTCACTTAAAATTTTGTTTAGCGTTGGTATTTCTTTTTTAAAATAAAATGAGTGTACTTTTCTGCGAATGACATTTTTGAAGAAATCATCTATAACGACTTTTGACCTCCCTGTAGATGATTTTGGGGGATTTACAGTATCTTGTTCATTTTTTGTTTCCTTTAAAAGTCTGTAGATAGTCGATTTTCCAATCCCTGTCATTTTTGTTAGCATTAGTGTTACCCGATAATTACCTGAAACGAAATATTACCACGCCCATGGCCGGTTCTTATCTCGGGGTTTTATTACTCTCTTTCATTTCCAAACAGACTATAACCTAATCTAACCTAAATTACTTTACAATTGTCAAATGTCAGTCACGAACAAAAAACATCATGTCATCTGAGACGTAAAACTGAGTTAAACTGTAAAAAAAAATTGTTTTTGAGGTTTTGTACTGAACTTTCCCAGAAACACACAAACTAAAATACGATTATCTAAAGCTGTCAAAAATCGTGTATTGAAGAAATTTGATTACTTTTAGATCATCTAAAATATAATAAAGTACATCTAATATTTGTCTAAACTAACCTTTCATAGTTTAAATCGCTGAAAAATAAATAAAAAATCCAACGAATAAAAATTGTTTACTGAAATATTAAGCAGTGAATTAATATAATTCTTGTTGCCTCTCTTATTTACGTCACTATAATATCTTTAAATACGTAACAGATATTAATACATTAAGTTAATCAAAATATTTAATCTATTTTTATAAAATTAAATGATATACTTATCCAAAAAAAATTGGACGTCCGCTATAAAAAATAACATTGAACACATTTTTCCTATATTTTATTGGTAGGTACTGAAAATGAATCTGCCCAATTATTTTTAATTTCTTTCTCAATACTTTGTACCTAAATTTTTCCTCCCTCCCTGATATGAAAGTCAAGATCTGCCACTGGTAGATTAAAAAATAACTATTGAGACATGATTTCAATGTGTATGTTGACTTATACGTTTTGAATTTAAATAGAAATACATATTTTTTTGTAAATATTACCAGGATTGAAATAAAATGTCAGTTGATTTTCAGTTGATGAAAAGATTATTATTAAAGGGAACAATGGTAGAGTTTTTAAATAAAGCTTAATTTTCTATATATCACACTAAAGACAAATATAAATTATGTGTCATATTAAAAATTCTATAAAAGCAAAAACAAAAATTACCTAAATAAATCTTTCATTACACCTAAAATACTGTACATTACATTTAAATTTAAGTGGGTAACAAATAAATTGAATTCTGTTCTGATTACCAAAAACAACAGGTTTAATTACTTTGTAAAAAAGTTAGAAAGAAAAATCGCTGTCCTTCAAATTCTCCTTCGTCCACTTTTCGAACTTCATGATTACGTCCGCAGACATGTGAGATGTTGCCCCACCAATTTTACCGCTTCTCATGAACGAACCAACGGAGCTGGTCATGTTATGCTTCCTGAGAAAATTCACCATAATGTGGTAATTAACAGAGTTGTTATTCTTCATATTTTCAAAACAAAGGTGATTAGTTAGCTTGTCGATTTGTTCGTCAGTCAGATTCCTTTCAAGGAACTGCGCAACTTTCCTTATGACAGACGGAAGATCGTTTATCATGTCTTCGTACTTGAGGAACAGGACGTTCGGTTGGGTCCTGCGCTCCCAAAATGGAAATACGTGGTCCCAGAAAGGAGCATAGGCGACTGGAAAACGAAAATTTTAATATACTTCTGGAAAAACTATAATTAAAAAAAAATCTCAATATATAAAATATTTAAGAAAAACAGTTGTGAATTCCTAATACTCTAATAAAAAAAATATACTGATTGATCGTATTACCTTTGCCTGCCAAAAATAATCTACAAAAGTCCTCGAAGTCTCCTGTATAGCCCTCTAAAAGTCTACAGTGGTTGTAATACGAAACACAGGTGTCTTTTGGATTCCTTGTCACATAAATAATCTAGAATAAAAAGTATACAATGGTTATTATATACAATGGTTATTAAACTGTAAAATAAACATAAAATTTACTTTTTAGTAAGTTTCACATACTTTGTTGAGAAAAAAATGAATAGTGACATACTTTGATGGTTTTGAAAAAAACTTTTTGCTCTAAAGGAACCAAACAATGTGTTTTTTAAGTTACAGTAAACAGAATGCCTACGTCTACGTATAGTAAAAAGTAGCTGAATTTGACTTAAAAATTTAATTTTTTATATTAACGTGCTGTTGTGCTAAATTAATATCTATCTTTTTCTTAAATTTTGAATATCTAAAACTAAGTATTTGTGGACCCACATTTATGGGAAAAAAGTCTTATTTTGACCTCAAAAATACGTCCCTAAATTCTTTGTACTGAATTTTGAATCACCCTGTATAATGAATATATCGGTTATTCTTTAAACAGTTTACCTTTGGCTTCTTTATATTTTCCTGCAGTTCTCTCGGTAACAGGACCCAAGGAATATGAGTCTTTACACATTTTGGACCATCCACTTCTTTCAAGAACTTTATGGAATCTTGCAAATACGCCGGAGCGTCAAAATCTTTTATGGTCTTAATATTTTGCCTGTGGTCGAAAATTGCTGATAGTCTGAAAGATTTATAAGACAAATAAGGAAATTATATATTTGGTCAAATAAATCGACACTTACTCTAAAAATGGGCAACGAGTTTCTATGTTCTCTTGACCTTTTATGAAGTCAAGGTTATTCATGATCATCCAAACCATTTCTAAGGTCCATGTGGTCCCTAAGAAAGGAATAAAATTTTTCAAACGAGGAACTTGAAAAAAATGCAATATTTAAGATGTACAAATATTCAACTTTTTACAAAAACATATATAATTTCTAGTAATGGGTATCAATCAGTTCTTCCTCGAATGGAATATATTATGAATGAATTTTGTTTGAATATGCCAATTTCTACACAATCAAATTAGGATCACAAAAAGATTAAAGGGAGGAAGGGTGATTACAGACAGAAAATGAAAGTAATGGATCTTCTGAAAACAAGGAACTGCATTAAAAGTAGATAAACAAGAAAGAATACAAGAAGAAGAAAAGAATCAATTGGTTCTTCTTTGGTTGAGGCCAAAAACAAAACTGCCGAAATTGTTTTGACTGCAACTGGATATTATTTTGTCATTCAATAGTTCCAGAAATTTGATTTTGCACCAACTATGCAGAGTGAATTTAAATTAAATTAAATTGACTGTGGAACATTGTATGATGAAAATAAACCTCGGTGTAATAATGTAGAGGATGTAGATGACGATGGTAATGAAAGATAAATTGGGAATAAGGAATAATAGAGCTTCATTAAGAATTTATTGATTGGACAGAATCTCTGTAAAGCTATCAATAAATTTATGACAATTGTACTAAATGTATCAACATTTCTAACCACTGAGGAAAACTAGCTTGAAAAGAATGAGTTTTTATTCCCACATTAGTCATAGAAAGTGGAAATATTATCACCTAAAATTTGAAAAAGAATCATTGTTTCAACTCATTCTTTTTGCTAATAGTAATTTTACTAATCTTTTGATTGTCAAAGCTAAACCTTTAAACTTAAAATCATCTTCACTTACCAGTTTTTGGAAAGCTGCACACCCATACGTCGTTCTCATTCACTTCCAAATTGTAGATTTCTTCCTGCATCTCAGCAAACCGCTCAGGCATGGTAACACCCTTAGCCGTAACGTAACCAGATCTAAATTTGCTCGTAAAGTATTTCCGCAACACCTCATCGAGATCGGCATCTTCGCTGTTACTCTTGATCATTGTAAACGCACCCACCGACACCGTTTTGCGGTAAAACTTGTAGTAAATGCAATGTTACACTTCAGTTGTTTATATTAAATTCGATTCTATTTTTTTGTTGACAAACCTTGATATTGCTGACTCGGAGTGGACTAAACTAGGATGACGTTTTTCCGTTAAACGTTGGATTCCTGTATATTTGGCGATAAGTAACCTTCGAATTAGTTTTTGGGACCGATAAAAATATTAAAAAAAACAATCTTATTCAGTTAGTAATTATTAATACAAATAATTGACCTATACAGGGCGATTCACAAAAAACTTTCTGAACTGATAATTTGATAATGGAAAAATATTTTATAATTCTGTTTTTTTTTATGTAAGAATCAGTTGGTACAGCTCCTCGACAACGTCAGCTTATATCTCAAGTAGAATTTTTCCAAAGCAAATCGTGGATGACGCTGGAATCAGACAATTTTTTTAAATAACAGGAACCTTGCAAGAAATTTAAAAAAATTTCGGAAAGATAGGTACTCGAAATACAATAATTTCGAAGCCTTAAAAATCAACAACGAAACAAACTCAAATGTGATTAAATTCATTTTTGTAAAACTGTCATTAAAAATAACTTTCGGATTCGCCTTTTAATTTTCTACAAATTACTACTCTCTTATGTTTTTCGAAAAAAAACCTGATTTTTGAGTAAAACTTAAAAAATCAAGTGAAAACACTTTTACTTAAATGACATGGCATACACTAATCATTCGGTTATTTATTCGAATAAAGAAATTAATAGCATTAGTCATAATTTTAATGATTTTATTTGAGTAAATGCTCAAAAATACTCCATTTCCACGAACACAGGCCCGACATCTTTTTAGTAACGAAAATGTAATTTGTTTGAAATTTATTGTTGCTTGAATCTGATGAAATGCATGAACTTACTGCTCAGAATGTCAAAGTCGCTATCGCAGCCCACTATAATGTAATTTTAAAAAGCATTATATTCGAATATCGAACTGAATGTAACAGTTCTTTTAAATACTATAAATGCAGTACTTATATGTAATGTTGATATTGTAACATTCAATAATATGCTAGACACAATTTACGCAATAATTGTAACAGTTAATTTTAAGACAATATACAATACGCCGACCTCTTCTGAGTACGGTAAATACATATAATACTGATAATTTTTTTCAAAGAAATAATTGACATTTGTTTTTTAAATACTTAAAAAGACCTTATTTTTCAAAATATCGAAAGCATCACTTTTTTTAAATTCAAGTTTTTTTAAGCACTATTTGATGTAATTGGTTTGAAATCTGTATATTAAAAAACCGCCGAGATAAGGTCCCTAGTTGCCGTTTTTTTGTTAGTAACTTTTTTATTTTTCAACTTAAAAATCTGAAATTTACGCAACCGCGGGACAATGTAATTACCTATCCACACTTTTTTACAGAATTTCGATATCTTGACTTGGGCAGAAGATATACGCGCTTGCATTTTCGACTTTATAAATTTGCAGAAGGCCGCCATTTTGATGTTGGGAGTCCGGATTGCAGGTATTTGTTGAGCACCCCAACAGTTATCTTTTCCTGTAGTTTCATCCAATTTCTGTGAAATTCATTCTTTTTATTTAATGCCGAAAATTTGGCATATTTTTCTTTCAGCGCTAATTTTGCAATGTAAAAGAATTTTTACGAACTTTCGCAAAAGCCTGCTCTTGTAACAAATTTCCTCAGGAACAAAATTGATAAGTATACCTTACGTCGATTAGAAGCTTATTTTCGGAGATATAAAACTGAAAAAAGAGGAATTATTATTTTTTCCTTTTGTTATAAACAATATGACGCTCGACCTCTACAAATACAAGAATTTGGGCTTTTATTCTGTGTATTTTTTACTTAATTTAAACCCATAAAATTCGAGTTAGACCCGATTATTGAAACAGGCATATGTTTGATCTAATTCGTCCGGATTATATCCTCAATTTCCTTAAGTGTTTTTTATTACTTGAAATAAACATATCTTTATTCAATTTAGGCCCTTTCTTCCTTTCTAGATATACAGGGTGATTCAGTCATAATGTCATTAATTTTAAGAGCAGATAGAGAAAAATGAGTATAATACGATGGCGTGATTAAAAAAAAAATTAAATGCATATTTAAGCTGAAAAAAATATTTTCAAATCATTATTTAACCCCCTTTTCAGGCTGTTACTGACCGGTAACAGCACCGGTAACTAGGTCTACTGACCTAGATGCAATGTTGCCATATTTATATATTTTCGCTCAATAAATAAACGGTTTGCTCACGTCAGCCAATAATAATTTAAAATAATAAATTATTTTTTATAATTATGCAATCAACATATTAAATTGTTATTGTTGCCTGGCAAGAACCTCGAGGAGGTCTGAGCATGCCTTGCCAAAAATCAGTTTTTATTAACATCATAGTGATAATTTTTTAATTTGCTGTAAGCCTTCTACTAAAAATTGAAAGTAACGCGGCCCATTCAGATGTTCAGGTAGAAAATGCGGCCCAATTAAACGATCGCCATACACTCCTGCCTGCGGGTTTTCATCTAACCAAATGTGACTATTGGCTGCAAAGAAATTAGCTCTGTTTCATTTTAAATAAAATTTAATATTGAAGTTACAAAACTCCAAGAGTTCAAATAATTTCATAACTGTGAAATGTATGTAGTATTTAAATATTCACTGTAAGTAATAGAAGATAAAAAAACATTCGAACGGAGACAAATAAACAACTTGGTACGTGTTTCCGACCTAGGCTAACCTGTGTCGAGGTCACTACCCTTCTAATTTGCACGTGCACTAGGAGCCAGACAGGGTTCCGTTGCCAATCAGAGTGCCACGGCTGCAAACAACTTATTCCAAAGTATTTTGTCCTCCTGAATCCAAAAAAACTTGGTCGCAAACCCTGAAAGTGGTCAGTTTAATTGTTATCAACAAATTAAATGTATAAATGGCTGTAAAAAGTTTATTTTTATAGCTAGTACACGGAACCCTATCTGGCTCCTAGACTAATACGAACTGTAGTAGGATCGTAGGCAAAGTAGAGCAAAAAGTTGTCGGTCTTTTATAAAAGAAAATCGTGTCATCAAATTGAATGTAATGAATAGGGATGATTGTTTTCGAATGTACGGTTATTACAATTTATCATTTTTAATAATACTATTAACGTTTTCACGTGTTATCATTTATTATGTTAAATAATACACAGTTTTAGTATTTCAATTTATTATTCAATATCCAGTTGCGTATAACCAAAGTTTACATAATAAATGTAAACTTTAGTGTAAATCTAAACTTAGGAGTAACATAGGTAGGTACTTATTGTTTTTGAGAAAGCAATACTTATGTTTTTTACCTGTTTAAAATGCCAGCACGAGTAAAACAGCATTCATGCGTCCAGAACACTTTGTTAATAAAGTTCTGCTGCACTTCGATTTAGGAACCAATTGCAAAATTCAAGACGATTGGGGAAATCAGCTGCTTCTAAAGCTTGAACTTTTTGAAAATGTGTTATGTTAACTCCTTTGCGGGAAAAATGCGGGAGAAATGGAGGGTGGTAGATTTGAATAAACGCTTTAAATTGTTAGGTAATGGTTTTGTAACCGTGTGTAGTGTATTTTGTATATTCGGGTATTTAGTGTGCCGACCGACTTTTTTATTTCATAAAATACGGTGTGCCTACAAACCTCTGCTTTATTTATTTTCTTTTAACGAAAGTTGACTTCGAGAAGTCAGGCTTGTTAAAACATTTTGCACTAAGTTAATACAATTATTAAAATTAGTTATAATAAAATGCAGCATGATCCTTTATTTACTTGCATTTTATTAGTTTCGTACATATGTATCCGTATACTAAAGCGGATTAATTAAATGTGAACCACAGATTATGATGTGAACTTGGCAACGCTGTTCGCTTCAGCTGACGATTTGTTCGTGACATTACGTTACAAAATTTTCCGAGCATCCGGGCATCTGGCAGGGCCGCCCTCTTAGCGGGAGTTACGGGTTGATTTCCTTCATTTTTAAAAGTCGAGTAAAAAATATTTTTTTTTGATTTTCTGTCTTTATTAAGCCTCCCGAATACGTGGTTAAAATTAATGACATTATGACCGAATAACCCTGTATAAAGAATGTTTTCATGTTGTAGGTTATATGTCACCACTACTCAAATCATGATTTGACAATACCCTTCCTTCCTTAATTTTATCCCTTCCAGTCACAAGAAGGTACTTTTATTATACAAAATGCTTCCCTTGAGAATTACAAATAATTAAAAATATAAAATTGTAAATATCGTAACTACTATAAATTAGTTAAGTACAAGTAATTAATTAAATAGATTACAAAGACACCCAAATGAAATTAAATGAAAAAAAACACTAATAAAAAATCATTTGGAAATAAATCAATCAAAAGAGAGGTCAGTCCCTTCAGTATGCTTTTCGATATATTCATCAAACCTTCTAGCAATTTCTGGCGACATATAATTCTTCCAATCGCCAACTTTGCCTTTTCTTATGAAATGAATCCCCGTCTTCTTAAAATACTCTTGTCGATTTTTCGCCTCGAGCAAAGGATCTGTATTGCATGCCCTGTTGACCCTCATATTCTTGAAGCTCACAAACTCTTCCAACGCTGAAATGTCTTCTTCGGAAAGAGGTTTTCCCATGAAATCAGCGATTTGCTTCAACACTCCTCTGGTGTCCGCAACCATCTCTTCGTACCTTAAAACTAGAATGTTGCTCTCGTGGCGCCTGTTCCAAAAGTCGAAGTAGTGGTCAAATAGTCCTCCGTAAGCGACAGCGTCGTTTAGAAAGAGTTCGCAGAATGATTCGAAGTGTATATCGATGTTGTACACGCATTTTGTGAGATGGAAATAGGAGATGCATACGTCTTTTGGATTCCTCAACACGTAGATTATCTGAAAAAAAATCTATAGTACTGGATCGATCTTGGAAGTTACGAAGCAGGAAAATAATTAAAGGTTTCCACTATACCAAATTTGAAATATATGTTTTTAACAGTTGTTGAAGAATTATGAATTGATACCATTGTTCTTTGTTTGTTTTGACAAGAAGAATCAGCCCTAAGAGTTTTCACAGGGTCGCTTTTCTGCCTTGTATATTGATAGATGATTAATGATAATAGAATATTTTACTTATCTTTAAGATCGTTCTTTCATGGTCAAATTATTAATTACTTCGAAGAAAAAGAAATGCTTAGATAACAAAAATGATACCTATTTACTTACTTTTGGTTTCACCTTATGAAGTTCAGTGGGAAGTAAGCAAGATCTTAGATGGGTTTTTATATATCTCGGTGAGGGTAAATTGTTAATGTAGTCCAAGGAGTCAGTAAATTTTTCTTTGAATACATCGATATACTCATGTATAGCAGAGTAAGTCCTGCAACAAACCATTTTAACGTAGTTAATTTAAAAGAAATTATAGGCTTTTTTTCGCGACTGAATATTGGTGAATATCTGACTTGTAGTTACTATTTCTATCTCTTTTGATCTTATTTGTCATATATGGTAGTTCAAATCTGTTCTTTCACTCATACTACACATACTACAACATACGACTTCACTCACGAAAAAAAGCCTTATATACAATTGATATATGACTGTCGATACTTACTCTAATATTGGCGCCCTATAGTGCTGCAACGTATTTTTTGCTGTGTCGAAATCCAAGTTATTTCCGATCAACCATATCATTTCCTGACACCATGTCGATCCTGCAATATATTAAATAAAGAGGACTGCTAATGTTTGATTACTAATTATTGTACGGGATGATTTAATTTTGTCACTTCTTGGAAGCTTCTTATTTTCCTTGAGAGGATGGGCAAAAGTAGGCAGGCTCGAATATTGAGAAAAATTGGATGGGAGACACCATATACCTACAGTATGATTCACTTAAAAGATAGAGGGCGTTTTTAATTTTTGTTGCGAAACGACATTATTTCATACAACTTTAAAAAGATTTTTATTTATGAAAGTTTAACACGTGATACAATTATATACAAGCTTTTTTTGGTGACTCTATCCTCTTGACTTTTCATATAAAAAATGTGCGCCTATGGTTATCTAACATACAAAATCCATTTTTAAAGATTGCTGCCTCTTGTAAAAGTTAAATAACTGGACTGGTATGGATTACGAGTAAAACAGCAAAATCTTAGTTAAATGCAATAATTGATTTTATAAACTATGCAATAAAGTATGAGGTTTTCAAAAAATTCCACTTTAATATTTCAAAAAGCGACTGTACCCAAAAAAATAAGAAAAATAATTGTTGTGTACATGTTTCCTAAATAAAACCCATATTTAGGGCATATTTTAAATACCCTCAGTACCCTTAGGAAGCAATTTAGCAAGAATGTTCATTAAACTTTTTTTCATATTACAAAACCTGTTTATAAGGAAATAAAATTTAAATTTGATGACAATAGGCGTAGATATAAAATTTTATGGAATGGTCAAAGGGGTGAGGACATCCTGTATATAAGTTTCTTACATATGCAAGTAATATATGTAGAGGCTTAAAAAAATAAAGAAGTGTATCAAGTACGATATCTCTGACTTAAACCAATTTAAAGTTGTATACTACGTGTTTAAAGTTTACACACTTTAAATTAAATGACAAAATATGCTCCAAAGGCAACTAAACGCTTTAAATTTAATGCTGCAAAAAGTTTAGCTTCAAAACATCACTTTTAAACAATTTATTCACTTCCTGCCCCTGTGTCTGATTGAATTTGGTAGATACAATAGTTTTAATACATTCCTGAATTACTGCTTTAAAGATTATAGTTATTAAAGTTAATACATGTAGAAATAATTTAAAAAAATAATAACCTGTTCTGGGGAAACTGACCAACCACGTATCTTCCTTCCTAACAGGCGTATCCAACACTTTTTGGGCGATATCCTTGTAGAGAAAATTGTTAATTAGTTTTCCTGGATTATACTCTAACATGAAGTTCTTAATTCCCGTTACTTTTTCGTAAATTTCGGCATATGTACCATCTATGGGCTTGTAAGTGATGCTCATGGTTGTCCGGTCACCAAAATGTTTATAATAGAACTAAATTCGAAATAGTTAATTTAAGTTGTTGACTCGTTTGTCTAGCCCACTTTCGTATTGTAAAATATTTAGATATACATTATAACTATATTTGAAGATTTCACAATTTTTCCACAGGCGGTGAAAGTTGAGAAGAAATTTAACTTGAAAGTTTCCAAAGAAAAGTAGCAAAAAGCATAAATATTAAATATAAATGTTTTATAATTAGATACTCGTATAATAATATAATAATTAGACTAAAATTCTAACCAATATGTTTGAATAGGGCGAAGTCCAACAAATTTAGCAATATCGGTCTGAAACATATGCGGGGACGATTTTCTTTTCTGAAGGAGTCAAGAACAGTAGTATTACCCTTTAATATAATGGATATTTTAAAAATCTACTAAACGACATTATAAGAGAACGTTATAAATAAAAGCAAGTTTTCACACCACTCATGAACTATTGCGTATGGTGCGTTACCATTTTTTTATAGTGGGTAGTTTGCCAGTAGCCCTATTTTCCTCATTAAATTAAAAATTCTCCAGTAAACAACAGTCTAATATTAACAAAATAAAATTTTTTTCAAGTAATAACACACATAATCATGAAAAAAAATGTAACAATTCCACATTAAAACAAATTGCAGATATAATAATATAACAATAAAATAAAATAAAATGTTCTTCTAGTAATAACACAAATAATATTAAAAAAACCATAATAACAATTCCAAAAAATAATACCGCATCTAAAGACAATCAGTCAGTTTCCGGTACTCCATTATCATCTATCACTATCACTATCACTATCACTATTACCGACATTGATAATAAAAGGATCGATAACTTCATCAACCATATTATCTACATCCCATATTTTCTTTTCCTCTTTATCAGCGTGATTAATACACTTTCTCCAGTCTTCTGTTGTAACGTTTTCTAGTGCTTTCTTAAGATGGCGTTGAACATCAGCCAATTTAACTGATCTATTTCCTCCAGCCACTTCCCCTTTAACTTGTGCCAAAATTAACTCGATTGGGTTTAGTTCACAATGATAGGGGGGCAATCTTAGTACGGTGATTCTATGGCTTAGCGCTAATTCATCCACAGCGAGTTTTTTATATTTATGGGCATGTAGCTTCACAAGCTGAAGCAATTCTGTTTTTAAGCTGGTTTCATCATAAGGAGCACCTTTGTCTCGTAACCATTCTTGAATCCTTGCCTTCCTCCATGACTGTTGTGGCGTTAATTCGCACTTTCGACTATGATAAAAGGCATTATCCATAACGACGACAGATGCTGGTTCCAAATTTTCAATAATTTGCCCAAACCACTTCTCCTATACCTCTGCATTTATCTCTTCGTGATAATTTCCCGTTTTCTTTGATTTAAATATTAATTCACTATTTACCACAAATTCGTCTTCACTTAAGCAAATGAGGAACGTCAAAAATGGAAATAATTTCCTCGCCCATTAACATTAAAAGTGCAGATAGGTCGTTTTTTTCGTACTTCTAATAATTGTGACTCAATAAATTTTACTTCTACTGGATCAAGATGTTGACTCAATTTTTTAAATAAATTAGAATAGGTAAAACTACGAACATGGGACAAATTAGTTTTACATTTTGGATTTATTTGATGACTCGGAAACTAACTGTTTGATAGCTATCTGTTAGTGGAACTTTGATCACAATCTGTACAAATTATTTTTAGTTCACAAGACTGCAATGCTGAAATTATTTCAATTAACTCATTTCACTCATTTTGGATAAAAAAAGAATAAAAATACAGTTCAGTTCAATACTGGCTATCATTTTTAGAATAAAGCTACTGAAAGTGGGGTTCATCATTTTTGCTGTTTTTCTAGCAATATTTCTATTGAAACTATAGACTTCCTTATATAGCTGAACGCAGAAAAAAAATATCTTCCAGAATTGATAAAAAAATATATAGTGTGCTATTTGAACAAAAACAGTTGACTATAGTAATTTTGACATATGTTACCATGGAGACGATATAATAATGCCATTTGATAGAGTTTGAGCGACGATTTAAATATATATAAGGTTTGTTATAGCTACTTATTAAAATAAAAGAGAAACGAGGCCGCCAATATCAAACTGAATCACCCGGTATAGTTCCAAAAATAAAAGATATCTTCCATTTTATTTGGAAAAAAACGAACAATTCTTAATTACTTTTTTTTAAATACATAATTTCTGATGATTAATTTGTGTTTAAAATAGTATTTCTAGCAAAAGAATGAAAATTAATAAAAAAGTGATAAATTCAAAATGGTTCATTTTTAAACTAAAATGAAGGACATCTTTTTTAATTAAAACACCGCAGGAAATTGTAGGTCCTGATTGAATTTTCAAAATATTCAATAGCATCAGATTTCTGGAGTTTTCACTGGCACGCATATTCATATATCAGAATTCAGTGAATTTTTATCTTTAATTAGATAAATTATTAAGTTTCATCATTATGCATCAAACTTAGTCTTCAGAGAAATGTTTGAACGAGATTTTTTTTTAATGTAGCACATTATCTCGAAAATTAAGAATTTGCGTTTATTTACCATTTTTGGTTTAACATTACTCAAAGAATCATCAGTGTATCGCAACAAAATTTAGACGGGTTGTAGTTTAGTGGGATTAAACCACTGAACTTCATTATGTTCGAATAATTAGTACAAAACAACAGGTGTTGAAATTATCACTGGAAAAACTAATAATCAACAAATTTAAAATTAAAAACTAATTCTATTCAAATTTCATTTAAATTAGATACTAGGACACGTAATTACTGTAGAAAACAAAAATAATTATTAATTTATAAGTGCTTAAAAACAGCGAGTTAATTTCAATGTTATTATTACAGTACATCAGGCAGATTATCTGGGCCAAATTAAGATTGAATATAAAATTTGCACTGCGGTCGGTTTTGATTTTAATACTTTTCAGTACATTATACAGGTTTTTCTGGAAATTAGTGTAAAAATTTAGGTGATGAATATTACAAAATAGGACGATTATTTTCTGATGGGCGTCAAAAATTTTTTTAATCCAATTTTAGCCATATCTTTTCAAAAAAGTATGTACTGCGTTGAAATTTAGTACAGGTAAATTTTTGACCATTTACTACAGATATAGCTAGTTACTATATCTCCGTGTGACATTTTATATGGTAATACAACTTTTTAGGTTCTTTATAATATATGTCGTATTCTATAATACTTAATATGGGCGTAGTAATTTTCGTTCGTAATTTTTTTTAGTTATCTGAAATTTAAGCGTTATTATTTTACTCGCATTTATTCGATGTGATCGATTCTGTCGAGCCAATCAAAGATTAGAATGTTTTAAACATACCGCAATAATAATAATACATTGGTGGAATCCATTACATGAACATGATTAAAAGAAGAAGACCAATACTAAAGGTCAGTGGCAGCTAGAGAAAATTAAAGTGGTAATACATTAATAATAAAATAGGGGATGATTTCTAGACTCACAAAGAGGACTATCGAAAAGTGTAGCAAATGTATTTGCAAAATACTTTAATCAACATTAATAATGTAATGTAATGTAATGTAATCAACTGGTAGATATCAACAACCATTCTTTAATTTTTCTCAAAATTTTGATTTTTCATATGATCACAGCATTATGAAATTTGATTAAATATATTAGATCATATTAAAATTTAAATAGGTATAACTTCAAATAAAATTTAATTTTGTCGAAAATTAAAAAAGAAGCGCCTATTTGTATCTATCAGTTGATTCAAATATTCACAAATATGTGCAACCCCTTTTGTGATCTCAGGGTTTGTAATCCATATATTTAATTTTTTATTTCGCAAATTCCATTTGAAATTTTTCCATCATGAAAATTCTCTATGTGAGCATAGAAATCATCACCTAAACACAGTATGATTACCATTCTCCATTACCTATATTATTTCACATTAATCTTCATCAACCACCACAGCTAAAGGCTTCCCAAAAATATTACCATCTTAGTATGCCGTTTTGAGATAAATAATAGATTATTTATACTGTCTATAGGTATTAGGGTGGCCCAAAAAAAACGAACTTTTTTTTTCGTGTATCTTGTGAAAATATCATGTTTTAAGAGCCCCCCAAAAATCAGCGTAAAAAAAAATTTTAGAGTCGCTCAAGACTTAAAAATTTCCAAAATCGTCAAAAATTGAATTTTTAAAAAATTTTTTTTCTCGTTATTTTAGGTTTAGTTGAAAAAAATCCCGATTCTGAAAATTTCAAATCTATATTTTAATTTCTAAAGGTCACTCATAATTATTTTAATTTTAAAAGTAGTGTACCTAAAATGTTTTCGAGCGACCTCTAAAAATAAATATCAACGAATTAATATTTTTTTTTTATTGAATTTGATGAACAAAATAATAGACACGAGACACTTAAAAAATTTCTCGAGAATTAATTTTTTAAAATTTAAAGTGTCTCGTGATTTATTTTTATTCTTCTGTTCATCAAATTCAATGAAAAAATTATTAGTTCGTTGATATTTATTTTTAGAGGTCGCTCGAAAACATTTTAGGTACACTACTTTTAAAATTAAAATAATTATGAGTGACCTTTAGAAATTAAAATATAGATTTGAAATATTCAGAATCGGGATTTTTTTCAACTAAACCTAAAATAACGAGAAAAAAATTTTTTTAAATCAATTTTTGCGACCTCTATAAAAAATTTTTTTTGAGCAGATTTTTTGAGGGGGCTCTTAAAACATGATAAACTAACATATTTTCACAAGAGACGCGAAAAAAAATATTCGTTTTTTTTTTGGGCCACCCTAATAGGTGTGTCAAAACATTATTTTTTAAATAAAAAAATAACTATTATCAAAGTAATAAATACATGTGAATAAAGTTAGGTATTATTTATATGACCTTCCTCAGCATTTTTTTGTAACTTGAAATAAACCACGTTTTCATGAATTCTAAACACCCTGTATATCGATAACGAACCGATTCTGCATTCATGTATATTCGATCACCCCATCTTAATTACGGTCCTGATATGTTGTTGTAGGATCACGATTATCCTATAGCAAAATACATACTTTTTCAATCATTTAATAACAGGAAAGATTAAATTTGTTATCAATAATATTCTTATTTTTATGGAAAGAAATATGATATGATGGGGACAGGTACCTAGGAAAAAATAGACAAGTGGATTTGGAAAAACAATTTATTGCCGCAGAAAAAAATAAAATCCCTTTTCTTCTTAGATGTTTTTATTAATGTGATTCACTACAATAAATGGTGTTGATGTACATCCTTAAATGCTGAAACGAAAATTTATTTCTTCCTGATATTTTACAAACATATTCTACTTGAAATAAACTGCGTAGTATCAATGAAGACAGTTTACACCAATAACTTACTACAATTTTGTTACATTATGAAGATTACAATACACTTAAGAACCGTCACATGGTGCTTTTGATTACCTACTTAATTTTTTTTTAACAAATACAATATTATTCAATATGTGCCCATAAAATTTAAACGTGTACAATTTATTTGTTTTTATAATTATAGTGGAGAATTTACATTTATTGCAAGAAATTTTAGGTAAAACCATTTCCATTAGTATGGAAAACATTTAAAATGAACTGAAATAATAAAAGTGCGTTGAATATATTTTTTCATTAACTGTAAATAACTATATTACTCTGGAGTACAATGAACAAGAGGGTTGGATATTTCCAGAATTATTCAGTAGAGACGGTCTGTCATTGTTTGTTTGTCGCTAGGAATAAACTTTTGTTTGTACCTAAACATTGGTGGCGCTTTTCTATTGGTCGGTTCAAGTTCAGACCATCATAGGAATTGGTTTAAGATTTTAAGAAACAATTAACTTCTGCCCCAAATTCTTTAGAGAAAAATATTGAAATGATGAAAATAAAATTCCGTCAGTGTTAATCGTTGTTGTATGCAACACACAAGCCATATAGGATTTATATCATTAGATAAGGTAGTGTAGTTTATAATATTAATGTTTATATCACTAGGCTTTTTTTGTGGTAATACTTTATGGATGTTTCTAATGGGATCATAGTCAGCTAGTTGGATGGCAGATTTAATATTAAGTTTCAACTGTCGACAGTGTCGACATTTATAGGGAGCATCACTGTCGATATGATGGTGTCAATGTTTTATCGTGTCAACTGTATTGTTGTTTGATGTTTATAATTGATCATAAAAACATATATGATTATACCATTAGAGGCAGTTTGTTATTTGTTTGTTTGGTTCGTTATAAAACAAATCTAGATCGCGTAGTCAAATAAGCAATGTGGCCTGGTACCACATATTTGAGTTAAAAATTTTATGCTGTTACAATATTTTATTCTGTCACTAATATATGTATGTAAGTTCTTCTTTAAAAATAAACCATTTTGTAAATTTCATTGTTATTATTTAATAACTTATAGTCTGCACAACATTAGTGTTAATTTAACATGAACATCATTCTAAAAATTAAAAATCTCTAATACAGTGTATCTCAAAAGTAATATGCATTTCGGAAACTGGCAATTATTCTAAAGACCTAAGCTTTCATACGGTCCAATAAAAAAAGGTGGTGGCCATATAAAAAAGCAACTCTATCCCCCTTCCGCCATCAATGGTAACATTTTAAAAAATTGAACATCACCGAAATTCATGCCCCAAAAAAACAAAATTGACCTGTCCGAGCGATTTTTCCAAAAATTGCCAGTTTCCGAAATGCACAAGACTTTTGAGACACACTGTAGAAAATGCTCAATGCTTGATAAAAAAAATAATTTCTGATCCACTTATTTGGAGCACAAATTTTTAAACAAACACAATACTAGAGATTCCACTATGTACAGGGTGTTTATTAAGTACTTACACAAACTTTAGTTTTTCGTATAGCAACACATACCTGGATTTAAATAACCATAATTTTTTTTTGTCGCACTGTATGTTACTTTTGACTAAACATACCTTTTCTCCATTCTATTTTACGTACAAAAGGTACTCTTAGTATCTGTCACTGAAAACAGAGAGTTTGTAAAAAAACAGGTTTAAATAAGTTAAACCTGCGTTGGAATTTTGAAAGAATTATTAATTGTATTGTGATGTGACAAACTTTTTATCTTAAAATTAGTCAAAGATTCACCTTTTAACTTTTGTACAAATAGTTAATAAACACCCTGTATAGTGTATCCTTTGTGCCTGGTACCTAAATTGGCCGATTTTCTAAGGTCCAGCAAACTTTTAGACAACGTGATGTGAAGGACAAATTTATTTGTCAACTTTTTGAGACTTAAAAAAACGATGAATTTTAAAGTACTTTTTGACTTATGATGGCCTGAACTAGATTTGTAAGTACACGAAAAGCGAGTATAGTCTTTCTGAAGTCAGTTGAACATGTATAAAAAACCGAGCAATCAAATTTAATGAGTTTCATAGGCGTCTCTAAAAAAGTTTTCTGCTAAAGGTAAAAAATTGTAATAATTTGTATATAATGTGTAGAAAATTTCTATTATATGTTCATTTGGCCAACAATATATTTTAATCATTTATGTCTTCAAGCAATTTTATTATATTGGTGGTAAATTTAGTTTTGTTCCGTTTCAAAAGGTCTCCAAAATGCCATGTTGTGATATTAGTAAACAAAATATCCATCTTATTTCTCTCTTTCACAATTGTGATATGAATGATTGATAGAAGGTGCCTGTAATAAATTAAAATTACCTGAATCACGCCAAATTCCGCATTGCTGCACTGCACTGCTAGGCAATTTATCAACTGCTTGTCAACTGCTGTGATTTATTGCCCAGTAGCCCACTGCAACTGTCTTTGTTTTCCTTTGCCAGCACTCGCATTCTTCAACTGGTCCTATACATTTCTACCGCATCCACGTTTAGTTCGACCAGACCTGTATATGGGTATAGCTAAATAAATTTGGGAACAAGTTTTTCAAATATTTCAATGCCGAGTTGCTGCGTCAGCGACCGAACCTGGTACATACTATCAATCTGTTGGTTCTTCAATTGATATCGGAAAAACTATAACAAAAGTTATGGTCTCGTGGTCCTTCTAGGTTAGCAATAAATTTCCTGTCGCTAACTATATGCAGCTGATGTAGACTTTTTCTACATCTGTAGTCGTAGTTACAGTATAAAATTCCAAAGTGTAATAAATGTTCTGTCACGATCGCTGGGTGCAGGGGTGGTCCAATCGGAGCGATTTTGATGTCGATGTGTAAATTGGACGTTTCTGCATCGAAACAACACAGTTTAATGTTTGATATTTTTTACAGGTAAAAACATTTATTTTTGAATACTACAATTAATAATTTGTGTTTAAATGCCGTGCCATGTAGTACATTGATATTATTCAAAAAATTTGTAAAATTTTTTTCGTAGCGCTATTATTTAAAATTGCATGATAACCGTAGCTCCTATAAAATTTCAAACGAAAGATCTAAAAACTAGAATCTTAAGAGCTTCAAAACACTTTTTTTTAATTCCCTATACGACCATTTTTCACCTAACTAGAAAAACTTCGAAAATTCTTTTGACCTTTTAATTTTTTACATTAGTTTATTATTATTATTATTACTATTATATTGTATCCGAAGACTAATTTCTTCTCAACTATAATAGTTCATTATTCTGATTAAAATTTTCTCGTTTTCAAATTATGAAACAAATACGATTTTAAATTGACATGCTTTTTGCCATTATTTTGACTTATACAGTTTTTTTTTATTTTTTTCCGTAGAATTGAATGGTGTAATCAGTTTCTGAACGTTTTTTAATTTAAACAAATTATCAACAATAACTGAAAAATTAATTGTTGCAAGTCACTTTTATTTTTTTTTGCATTTTTGAGCATGTTTTTGAACTGTTATTGCAGATTTTTTTATTTCACCTAAAAGTATATGTCAAAACGAAAAAAAATTATGTTTTTAAGTAGAATTATTCTTTGAAAAAAAGTGTTTCAGGCCGAAAAAATGAATATCTCAGAAACCTCCTGATTTTTAGATCTAAAAAATTTGAGATGATTTAAGACAGAGAAAGGTATACTTTCACCAAGTTTCGTTAAAATTAAATAATTTTTGCGGAAATGAGAAATAAAAAACGAAAAATCAGAAAAAAACTGTTTTTCGCATTTTTCTTAGAAATTTTGAGGTTACGTTAAAAAGTGATTGCTACAAAAGTTGTAGATTTTTGCATGATCTACAACTTTTGTATTGGATACTTTTTTGTTTGACGACAACTTTCGCCAGTAATCCCAATGATACAATATTTCATAACTTTTTAACCCCCCAAATCAACCCTCCACCGCCCCTGCTCACGCATTTATTTTTTTTAGGTTTATTATAAGTCCTTTTACCATTTCCACTTATAAAAGTGTAGGTAACAATTTTTTTTTTCTCCAAGTCTAATTTGGTTGGACTAATTATTGAGACGAGACACAAAATCAGGTGCAACATTCACAAAATCAGGTGCAACATTAAAAAACAAAGTTCTAGTAAAATAAAATAAAAATACAACAATAACGGGTTAAATTGGCCTATATATTTTTTTTCAAGTTATTAACGTTAATAATCTGGAACTTCTTTGGAAGAGGACGGCAAGCTGCTCTGCTGCAAATTCAGCGAACTAAAATCCCCCGTGTTACACGGAATACTCGGAATCCTTGACCCTTGCTTGGAAAAACCGGTATACTCCGCCGTAAACGGTTTTATAGAAGGTGGCGGTAAACCAATCAATGGCGTTTCTTCTAACTTATCCAAAAGTGTTTCTTCCGTTGTCGTCTGCGATATACTTTCCAGGAAAGGTAAGACGAAGTCATCTTTTTTGGGGGGTTTCACTTCTACCACACTCGGGAGAGGCGCGTTGGATGGAATCAGAGGACTTTGCATGATGTTGCAAGAGCTGCCGATTGGACTGAACGGATCGGGAGTGGTGAAACTCGGAGTCGGAGATTTTTGTTTTTCCGAAGCCAATTCTTCCGCTATGCTGTTCTCTGCGCTTATATCGGAAAAGTCTATATCGTAATTGATTTTCGACAAGCCCAAGTAGCTGTTATCGTCAGGCGTTAGACTGTCCATACTCTTATTCTCATGAGCCGGCGACGGTGATAGGAAATCGGTTGTTTGAGACGTTTGCACCTGGCTCGTATTCGGTATGCTTATGCAAGGGGTTATATTCAGCTGTAACTTATTTTTTGTACTGTCCAATATATTAATCTGGCTCATGGATAAATTTTGCAGGTAGTAATTCGGGGACTTTTTTATTTCTTCGCTAGTCGTCACGCTTTCGTTCACAACCTTAGGGACTAGCGGTGGCGGTGAAATAATCAGGTTCTCTTTGGCAATCAGTAATGGAGATTTTCGTGGTTTTATTACAAGAGGTGTTGCTTCGAGCACGGATATGACTTTTTCGTTTATTTCGTCCTGTAAAAAAAGACTGAAATAAATATGTCGCTAAGACAAGTACCTTCAAAATAATTAGAAAAGCATACGAGAATAATTTAGCAATTTCTGGGTTGGTTACCACCTCGTCGGTAAGAAATATAGAAACTGAGTGGAATTTCTAACCTAACATAACCTAATTTAACCGATGACATGGCAACCAATCCAGAAATAATTCTACTGCAACCGCCATGAAAGCTTGCAGTTTTTGTGCAGACATAGAAGTTTAAGGAGTTACTATGGCAGTATGATAGGCAGTTTCGATAATTCAATATCAAACTAATTTAAAATATTGCTTGACTTCCATGCGTGACATTGAAAGATAAGTTTAGGTTTATCTTTTCTTAGTATAATTTAATCAAATAAGTATAAACAATTTGTTCTCCAACGAACATTTGCCTTTTTAAAGTCACCCACAGTATAAAAATGAGCATTTTGCAAGTACATTGCTAAAAATAGCCCCAAATCTATAATTAAATTATCTTCAGACCCAATTTGGTGGAATTGGACATTGAATTAAAAGTATTTTTCAAGCTATAAATATTTATGAGTAATGCCACTATTATCGAAATGATAAAGACCGGCTTGCAAGATATTTCGTAACTTTTTATTGTGCACGATTAGCAAAATTTTCTATCTGTCTAGGAAGTTTCTTCTTAATATTTTTCTATTTAGAAAGAAATATAAGTACAGGGTTAGTCCCTATAATCTGACAACTCATTGTGAGTTTATCATTGAAATTACAAAAGTTTTAGCTTTTTTATGAAATTTTTATAATACAGTATTAGAAAAAACAATTGAATAATGGAAATAACTAATTTAAAGAAAAACATTTTTTTAAAATGGAACGCCCTATATATTAGTGTGTTAAATTTCTCTCTTTTCAAAAATATATATGTTATTGTTTGATTCAGGACTTTTCGACATATTTCAGTTTAAAGCTATTTTTTAAAAAACAGGAGGCAAATTTGCAAAACTCACAATAAGTTGTTAGATTATAGTGACTAACCCTGCACATATAAAAAAATAAATAAAGAAGAATAGAATAGAAGAATAAAAGAATATGTATTATAAATTAGGCAGTTTGTTTTAAAAAAAATCAGATAAAGGAGTAGGTGAATTAGAAATAAATAAAAACAATTAAGCAAACGAATATTTTAATTTTTGCAACAATTCACTGAATCTCTGTTGGATATATCACTGTTATCCTTAAATATTTTCCACTTTTTCGGAATGTGTTACGGTTTAAGATAAACAATTAAATAATTCATTCTCACTACGAAAAGAATAGAATTGCTGTTGCATATAATTAACCTTTCCAAAAGCAAGATTTTTCGTCAACTGGTAATTTTTCTCCATTTCCAATGCTATATGTGCAGTCACGAGTTGTAATATTTTCATTAAAATTGAGATACACTATCCAGAAATAAACCTTTATTGTACAGGGTGCTTACAAATTTGGAGGTTTATTTCTAATGGGAGATCGGTCTTCACAAAAGAAGTCAATTTACCAAACAAATCATTGTTCGAGTATCACCGAAGTATTTTAAAATATCGCCAATTATTACTAAATATCGGCAATTACTAAATATCGGCAGTTAATTCCACCAGGAATGATGGTTCTTTTACTAATACCATCAAATATGAGTTTTTTTCATTTGCACTAGGTGACACTTGGTGAAAAAGAGTATGTTAATACACCATTTGCAAAATCACTCACCAGTGTACAAAGACTTAAACACCCGGAACACACAGAAATTGTTTGATGCAGAAGTATAAGTAGCGGCAAAAGAAAATATCGATTAATTTTGCGGTTACTTCTTGTTCCGAGAGTATTCTCATTAAAATTAGTTGTTTCTTAACCGTCATCCTCACACATCTAAAAGTCTATTGTGTTTCGGTATTACTCTATTTTAAAGGAGTATTATTATTATTAGTGATTAGTGTTTTATTACATCTAATTGGGTTGTACACACACATTGAGAGAAAAGTGTAACAAAGTGACACTGCTTGTTGTTAACTGTAACTATTTAGCTCAATACTTAAAGTCCACTCGATTGGTTTTTATTCTAATAATACCACAAAAGATTAGGGTTCTACATTACACTCGACGAAAAAAATGTTTGCTAGTACACCAGCTGTAATATCAGTGTAATAGTGAAAGATTTATACACTTGTAATAGAAATTCTTTGGCATGGAAAGTGTGTGGTGTAACTAAAGGAATATATGGAATAATTTTATTGATTGTTACTTGCTTTAACAGCACTTTGTTACTTGTCTTAAAATTAGTTGTTTCTTAACTATCGTAGTTGCGCATCTAAAAGTCTATTTATTGCGTTTCAATATTAGTCTAGTGCGAGTGTCATATGTTTTCATAGTGATCAGTGTTCTATTACATCTAATTGCTTCATATGGCGCACACTAAGGGAACAATACATATATCAGTTTCAGGTGCAAAGGATCCATAATCTGAGATATTTAAAGTATAACCCAGTAACGTCCCCCGTTGCCAACTGTTACTATTTAGTTCAGTATCTGAAGCAAAACCCCTATAAATTGATCGTTCTTTTATTAATACCATTGAATATTAGGTATCTTTCTTCCATCCGCACTAGCTTGTATTTGGTAAAGGAAAGTATATGTTAATTCACCAGAAGCAATATCGGAATAATAGAAAGATTTAAACACCTGCAAACGAAACACTGTGGTGCGGGAGATGTAAATAGTGTAAATGACAGAAACACATAGTCTGAATGTGTGTTGGTTGCTTTTTGTTCGACTGTACAACCGTTACTTGCCTTAAAATCAGTTGTTTCTTAACTGTCATTCTTGCACATCTAAAAATCTGTTGTGTTTCGGTAGTCTACAATGTGGATAAAATGGTAATTAATTGTTTTAGACAAAGTCTTATTACAATGGTACCTATATGCTTTGCCGAAGAAAAAATTTTTTTTTGTGACAGAATTTTTTGTAGACTTGCAATAGGTCGCTAGCAAATTATCGACAATGTAAAGACTTTCCTGCTACAATTTTATTGCTAGACGAAGCTATTTTTAGCCTCAACTAAAGTTCCACAGTACACACCTGTAGCCTATTAAAAATTCCCAATATGATTCCAGTTTTGTCATCGAACTGTCTGACTGAACAGCATTAGTGATAATTTAATTCGACGAGCTCGTTTGTGTCGACGAAGGAGGGGAGACATAGAACATCTTCTGTCGAATGCCGTTTGAAATTATGACATGTCATTCCCTCTCGACTTCAACAGTTCGCAGTATATCCGCACTTTTTTTATTTTATTTTTTTTACTTTTTTGCATTATACGGTTTATTATAACAAGATACAGTAAGTGGGAAAAAGAAAATGTCATGCAAAGTTTATAGGGGTCAATTTATTAGATAATCGGACGTTATAAATAAGTGAGACCCAAGGTTGTAAAAACCGATATTTATTAAAACGACTTTATAAAAATCGAAACAAATCATAATACAATAAAAGTGAGTAAACATACTTCTTAATCTAACAGCAAATACGAAATATATATTTTTAAAATCTATTTATATAACAGATAATTATTAGCACACTTCAGATTATCTTTCGACAAACACAAAATGATAGATGATGATGATCTAATTGTGGCGATTAAGAAGTTCAATAAAAAACCAATTATCCAATACGGAAATAAAAGCGAGGAAAAAATAACACTTGTGTCTAGAATTAAGATAAAAACAATTTCGTAATTTACGAGTGTACTTATTGTCGAATATGATTTATTACGTTTTTTAGTGACACATAAATTGTTATTTCACAATTTATTTACTTCCTGTAGACTTAAAAAAAATTACACGTGTCAAATGTAAAAAATTACATGTATCAGTATGTATACACTTGAAGTCAACGGGTCTGTAGGTATATTGTTCAGTGACAAATTGCCAGATGCTTTATATCTCAATAGTTAATATGAAATAAAAGGTTAAAATATTACTATATCTAATTTTTGTTTAGTGTAGTACGAAATATATACTAAAACTTCCACAAATAAAAGAGTAATATAATGTGTTCCACTTTGATCAACACCACCTTGATATTTTAAAAAGCAAGAGTAGATTTTCAAAACATATTTTCCAGCAAGGCCTACTTGATGAGGTCTAACAGCACAACTTTTGTTTCTACTTTAATTTCACGGCCTACTGTATTAAAAAAAAAAATTTACCAAAAACTTAAAGAAGTTTAATTAAATTGTACCTGCATCTAATACCTAATATCAAAATTTCATTTCAACAGCTCATACAGAGTGTTTGTATTGGTAAGGAAAGTTTTTAAAGTGTAGTGTTTGAAAAATTCAGTATAAAAAAATCATTATATTCGGCCGTTTTAGTCTAGAATTTGTAGAGAAAACTTTTCATTAGATGCTAATATGTTAGACACAATTAAGTAAGGCCTCGTTAATGCAATGCAATTATAAATATAGGTTATCATTGTAAATGTGTATCAATATTATGCTGCATCGATAAACTTGTTTACAAATAAAAAAATATTGAAAATTAAATAGCATTTATTATAAGGTAATATTCATTTCCAATTACTGGTCTTTCTAAATTGCGTGTAAAATATTGTATGGTAGTAAATTTTTTATATCTCTGCCTAAATACCATCTTATATTACAAACTCTAACCTAAAACGGTTCGATATAATGAATTAATGGTTTTATACACGGTCTTCTAAATATTGCATTTTAAAAATTGTACATACTAAAAAAATACCCTGTATGATCTAATGAAATGAAATTTTAGTGTATTTGGCACTTTAGAAAACGTCTAATACAATTTTAAGTTTGGAAATCTACCCATCCATTCTAAAACATGAGAGTGGCGCTGCTGAAAGTGAAACACGCTGTATATGGTATATGTAGGGTGTAACTTTATGTGAGGGATCAACTTTTTATGACAACAGTATGTGTTCCAAAATATTTTCTTTTAAATTAAATAAATAGTGAAATTGTAATTATTGTTTGAAACTGCAAATATTAACTAATATTAATAATAATTTGTTTTACTGTTTTTACTGGAATCCAAATATGATTTCTATAACAGTGCAGTGTTGTTTTATTAAGTTCAATTTTATAGTCAATTTAAAGTGGTTTTTCGTGAAGTGTCTTTTGCGGTGTAATTGCTAATAAAGATAGTTATTTCAATGTTCAGTAATGGTGTTTGTGTGTCTTCATTGTTAAAGTTTTGTATGACGTAAAAAAACATTTATATACATCAAGTAGGTTGAGATTTGGGGACAGTGAGTTTGGGAAAACAAACTTATATGTATTTCTAAAGGCCAAAGGTAGCCTCCTTATAAATATGACTCCATTCAAAGGACAAACTATATTATTGAAGAAAATATGTCTTTATATCAGTGTTAGTATGTTTCTTTATCAAATAAATTAGTAGTCACATAATATAAAGTTACTAACAGTTAAAAACTAATATATCCGTCTAGTCAAATATTTTTAATTGATTATAAGTGAAATTAATTTGTTAAAATACACAATTTAAATTGATATTCCAAGTAAAATATTCGAAAATTATGAATATGCAGTTTAATTTTTTTCTTGCAACTTATGACTATATTAAAAAAAAACATAAAACGACACCTAAACAATATTTTTAAGGATAATATTATACCTTCAGTTTCTCCATATCCTCCCTCAGCTTCTTCGTACCGTCCTGTACCACGTTCGTCCTTTCAGACAGCCCCTTAAGGAGGGCTAAATGCTCGCATAACTGGTGCATGCCCTCGCACGCCACCAGAGCGGACTCCCAAGCGCTGACGCAGGTGACCTCACCCGACATGTAAGCTTGGAATTCTTGTTCGGGCATGTTCAGAGACTCGGCCGTTAGGTTTTCTATGAACGACACCGCACAACACTAGAAATCAAGTAAATTGGGATTTATTTATAGATAAAAAGGTCTTTATTTAGAGTAATCGGGATCTGGAGGGAACTTTTGGGGTTTCCGACGGAGTGAAATTAATTCGAGGTCTAAAAATATAAAAAACGTCTGATTGCACCCGGAATTTAAATGAGTGTTTTGTTGGAATTTAAATAGAACTCGTAATTGTTATAAAATAAGTATCATAAAATAAATATTTATGGTTTCGGGGTAAAATCACTGATTGAATAAATAAATGAAACAATAAGTCTTTCACTGTTTTATCTCAAGTTTTGAATAAACAAGAATACCCTTATTTATTTAATTGGTAAACATCTAGATGCTGATAGTACAGTTAAAGAACTAGAATTGTACCATCTACAGTTGTGGATATTTACTTTTTATGATTATGAGTATCATTGATGCAAATTGAAAGTAAAGAAAAACATTATTTTCATTTTGTTAAATTTCCAACTTTCAGAATATCCTATAAATTGAAAATTTTTGTTATGGATACAAAATATCATGACAAAAATGAAATACTTCTCTTATTTTTTACTCTGTTTTAATATAGCATTGAAAGAAATATTTTGTACCTTTGTTATTCTATCCCTGACAAAGATGAACATGGAAAAAATTTTTTGAACTGGTTTGAATTAACTTAGTACTTTTAAAACTACTGCATAAAATATAAGTTTGTGTCATTACTAAAAAATTTTGTGTATCTCCTTAATTTTATGTAAAAAGTGCAGAAAACATCTTTATAAAAATCAAATGTTTTCACAAAAGTTTTATGCCGTATAACTTACAATACAGGCTGTCCACTATAAGAGGGCCACTACTATGGATGATGCATGTCAAAAATCTTTAATGTTTTTTGTTGCATTTTTTGAGGTCTTTATGCTCGTAAAAACAGATTTGAGATCCATGGCCAACTTTATGAGTACACATAAAAAAACCGGAAAAGTACCGAAAGTTTAGGGTCGTCTAACCTTTCTTGATCAGATCTTTTTAGTTGAAATATTACTGCTGTGCAAACATGTCACAAAAAAGAAAGCATCACACGTTAACCCTTTTGCAAAAAGTGTATATTCTAAATAAATTGGTTTTTTAGTCTTCTTTTTTATTTTTAATAAATGCATATCCATATTTTATGATAATGTTTGGTTTTATTGTTATTTTTTGCCTTATCAGTAACAGATAAAATCTCATTCATATTATATGTATGTACATAAATATATTTATATATGTACATATTTACTATCCAGTAATCCGAAAATATTGGCAATTCGAACTTATCTCTTTAAGCCTGTGTCTTAATTAGTTCGGATTAAAGAGTCTATACTGTAATAGTTGTTTACATTTTTTCCATAGGACAAGTCTGCCTCGTGCATATGTGGTATGCACCAGCTGTGTAGGTGCTATTGTCACATTGTGATGAAACTCCTCAATATTAATACTCGCTGTATTTTGAAAACTGTTAATCTTACACCTCCCCGTAATATACAACTTTTTTGTTCATTTATGATTACTCTATCTCATTCTGAAGTAATGGCAGTCAAACTTCTTACACCCTGTAGATCACCTTAATTCGTAAAAGAAATATTAAATTGAATATTGAAAGATAGTACTAATATTTCAACAAGTTAATATAATTTCTAATTTTTTCTTTAGTGTCACCCTGTAGAGTTGTTAACTCTTGAAGTAGTGTTCATAATCAATTTCTTGCTATAATGTTTTTGTTTTTCAATAAATTTGCTGCTTGTTTTCTATTGATACAACAAACTGTTTTCAAGATAAATGCGTTAACAATAAAGATACAAACTATTCTCGACATAACATCTTAATAGTAATAAATACATAAAATCAAAAATTTGCCACTTATGCAACTAAATAAGCAGGTACGTAATACCAAATGCCGTATTTCATTAGGTATTTATTTTGCTACATGAGGTACCAATTGTTTTCAGGTATTTATTATTAACGTTCGTTGTATCAATAACAAATAAACATACTTTTTTTTTACTTAAAAAAATATGAAAATCATAAGAACAGCAACAAGAATTTAAAAAGTGGGTCTATATTTCCTTTTTGAAGGCCAATTTATGTTAGGTTTTGAAAATTAGAGGTTAGGCTACAAGGTTCTTAGGTTTGTCATGCACAGTTGCAAAATTTTGGTTCAAGAATTTTTTTTTTTTCGTAAAACGGATTAGTTTGCTTTTTTATTTTTTGCTCAAATTTTAAACATTTGAGGTTAGGTTCTAGTCCTTTAAGGTTACGTTTTATGGATTTAAATTTTATGTATGCACAAGAAAACATATATTGCAGAATGTCTTTTTGAAGCAATCATATCTTTTGTTGAAGAAAATATATTGTTTCTGTGGATTTTTAACTTTTGGATTTGAGGTTAGGTTTTCAGGTTTCCTGGTCAGCTTCCTACGAATTTGAGTTAAAGTTATGCAAAAATATTGGTTGCACACTCAAAAGTATACTTGCAGGTTTAGAAAAAAAGAAAAAATTGAATATGTTCGGTTTAAGTGAAGATTTATAAATTTGCGGTTATGTTTTGGGTCCAGATTCATGATTTAGGAATATGTTTAATATTTATGATTTTTTTTTTGTTTGGCAGCCTTTAGTACATAATTTTCCTTTTTTTTTTCATTTTTAGATACCGAATATGTCAAACTTCGTATGTTCGAGTTTGAGGCTAGAGATTACTTGGCCATTTTGAAAAAATTCTAGGCATATATTCCAATTACCTCACCGGAACTTTATAGTACAGGTAATTTCGGAAAGATTAAAAAAAATAAGTACTATTTGATTAGTTTTGACGCGTGGTTTGAATTTTTTCCAATATTTCCCACTGTGCCGCGCCTCCAAAGCAGCACAGTGAATAGAACTGGAAAAATAACTTCAAATAACATAGCTTCTGTCCAAAAACTATCCAAATTTAATGGAAAATGAAAAAGTTACAATAAAAAATCGATTTTCAAGTTTCAACTTGAAGAACTAATAACTTTACAGGGTGAGTCTGAATAAAAAAACATCCGAGTGATTGCCCACCATTTCCTGAACACTCTGTACATAAATGGACTGGTTAAATGAATAAATGAAAAAAAAAACAACCAAAACGAAATAAGCACTCACCAAATTCGTAAAATAGTACCCAGCCTCGCCCTGCATCAGCCTGGAGTCGTTACAAAACCTCGTAACGTACAAAATATTGCTCTTCAACCTAGCAGGATTCGCTTTCAAGACAACGAAAATCAGCGCGGGCAGAAACTCGTCAGCGCTCNAGATACTGAATATGTCAAACTTCGTATTTTCGAGTTTGAGGCTAGAGATTACTCGGCCATTTTGAAAAAATTCTAGGCATATATTCCAATTACCTCACCGGAACTTTATAGTACAGGTAATTTCGGAAAGAACAAAAAAAAATAAGTACTATTTGATTAGTTTTGACGCGTGGTTCAAATTTGTTCCAATATTTCCCACTGTGCCGCGCCTCCAAAGCAGCTATCGGCACAGTGAATAGAACTGGAAAAATAACTTCAAATAACATAACTTCTGTCCAAAAACTATCCAAATTTAATGGAAAATGAAAAAGTTACAATAAAAAATCGATTTTCAACTTTCAACTTGAAGAACTAATAACTTTACAGGGTGAGTCCGAATAAAAAACATCCAAGTGATTGCCCACCATTTCCTGAACACTCTGTACATAAATGGACTGGTTAAATGAATAAATGAAAAAAAAAACAACCAAAACAAAATAAGCACTCACCAAATTCGTAAAATAGTACCCAGCCTCGCCCTGCATCAGCCTGGAGTCGTTACAAAACCTCGTAACGTACAAAATATTGCTCTTCAACCTAGCAGGATTCGCTTTCAAGACAACGAAAATCAGCGCTGGCAGAAACTCGTCAGCGCTCACCGGCCCCCCTTGGCAGTGCTGCAGGACCTCCACGACGCTCCTGCAGCAACGCACCACGCAGGTGAGCTTCTCCTGGGGAGCTTTCATCGAGTCCATGCCCAATAGGTCGTTGATGGCGGTATACACCAGGTCACGGACCTCGATGCTGGTCTCGCTTATGCAACAATCCAGGTGGTGGGCGTTTACCCAGCTTAATTTACGGATTCTGTCTTGGATCGCTAGGTCTTTTTCTTCGTCGTTTGTAGATGGCGGGCAGAAGAGGAAACTGGAATATAAATATGGAATTTGATATAGAGCTTAAGTTGGAGAAGATAAAATAACTCTTTATGTTTTTTTGTTGAAGTATACAGGAAATGTTTCACGACGAACTGTACATAAGTATTGGAAGAGCAGGGCAACATAGGCATGTACAGAATTATTGCTTAAAAAAGTTATGAGTCGAAATACGAAAATACACAGAAAGCTCTAAGAAATTCAAGAATTGCTACTATTTATTTTGATTTTAGCTTTTACAGTAGTTAGTTTATTTTTTTTATTAATACTACCGATGGTTTACAGATGCCTGCAGTCAGAATGTTTAAATTCCAAGAGAAATTGGGAAAATTCTCATTTTTGTTGACACTGAGAAAAGTTCGTCCTGTCTATAAAAATAGTGATTCATTCTAGCTCTTTTCGTTGCCAAAATACTATTAAATAAATACTGATTTAAAAAACGTGTTATTAAAAGTTCATTGTTGGTCAAAAGTCAAGAAAAATATTACAAAAAAAAATGAAATGCACGGTTTTTGTCACTGGTTCATATATGTTCAAAATGCTATATGAAATAGTAGAAATATTATACAGGAGGAGGTATGTTTTCCGATGTGAAGTGAATTCCATTAAAACATGAATTTTTAATTCTGTAAAATTATAATAGGAAGTCACTAATAATGGTAGTAGGAAAATATTAGTCCTAGCTATTCTTATTTCTAAAATAATACTGAAAAGCTGGTTATAAAAATATGTTATCAGAATTTCATTAGTATGTTAATTCAAAAGTTGAGAAGTGTTCCAAAAATATTAAATGCATGGCATTTGTTACTATTTGTCACAAAAAATTATTAATTTTTCCTAATACCGTACCGGAATTTTGGAATTATAACTTCAATAATCTCTACCAAAACTAAATTAATTTCCACAAATTTTCCAAAAGCTACAGCTAAAATAAATTGTTTTAGTGAAAGTTTATGGATCCCTCTATACAAGGTGTCTGGAAAAAGTTACCACAAATTGAGAGATAGAATTATCAAAAATAAAAAATATAGAACATGATCCTATTGTCTTTAGTTTTTGAGATAAAAAGCACTGAAGGAAATTTTTTTAAATCAAATTTTAGCCTCTTTTTTGAAAAAAAAAAGAAACAAACGGCGTAATGTATTAAAATATGAAGCAGGTAAGTTTTAAACAGTGTTTTAATGTTAGTTACATATATTTGCTAGCTACGACCTTACCTAGTAATTTTTATAACTTTTTTATATCTTTTTATGGTTGTCATGTATGCCATATAATGTAAAATGTATTTTGTATATGAAAATTATACTCTTTTTAAAATCGCTGAAAATAAACCATTTTTGAGAAAAACGCAAAAGTCAACTAGCCTGCGCCTAGAAACGAATGTGCCATATTTTGTACTTGCTTACTTCCTTCTATGGAAATAAATTGATTTAAATCAAGTACAATTTTGCTTATCTAAAAACTAACATGACTCTTTAGAAAGGAAGTTTGAACTAAGACAACTTTCTAAATAAGTTTCTCTTTGCCCAAGGCGACCACCGTTAAAGCATGGCCTATTCATTTCTGGACACCCTGTATATTACAGAGTAGAAGCTAGTCAGTCAATTAGTCCTTCTCAGAACTTTCATACCTTTCCTAAGCATCTACATATTATTTTATTTGTATTTATAACCTAATATCAAAAAAGCTGTCATAAAATGTGACTTGGTAAGGTAAACTTTAACAGATGGTCAAAAACTAATAATGTCGACATATTTAGCATCTTCAAAAACTTATATTTACCAAATTTTAATGTAGCATATTTTTTTGAAATATGGCTAAAATTTGATTTAAAAAAATCATATTTGACGCCGTTTATCTCAAAAACAGAAAAATGACCGGCTTTTGATCGTTAGAGGAAAAAATTTTCCAAAACGCCTTGTAGGCCAACCAATACAGATTTTTTCGCACACTTAAATATTACAGCAAATTTCATGTATTACCTTTTGAAAAATACTTAGTAAATGAAAACCCAAGTGATTTCTCCAGCAATGTCGTGAACAATTTTTTTTAAAGAATAAAAACTGAAAAACAATTTTTTTGTTTTTGTGTCTCGAAAAATAATGATGGAGTCGTCTTATTGTCAATAGGACTTTTATAGAGAATAAAAAAAAAACTATAAAAAGGTTTTTTTGTGCGACCCGATTGGATCTTTTTTTACAGAGAAAATCCGGAAAAACCTCTAAAATAGACCTTTTCTTCAAAAATTCATAACCGTGAAATTTGAAGCTGGAAAAGCAATCTTGCGGAAAATGACAAATAATAATATGTAGTTTAATCGTGCGCTAGATGTGTCCTATGCATAGTTCTTGTACAGTTGCATTATAAACAAATTAGGGTCTTTTTTTTGTCTTGTATATATCGGATTTTTGGACTTGAAAGTCGCCCGAAACAATCGTAAGTACGTTCCATGCGGTAATCAGGTATTATGGTGTGTACGTCAAGAAACAACTTATATAACAAAATATCTGATGTAATAACTAACCTGTACAGACTGACCATACTGTACTTCTCGAAAAAATCCAGCAACTCATCCCGAACCTCACTAGTCACCCCCTGATAGACAACGTTGTTGTTGACCCTGTCGTTGTACAAATTGTAGCAGTTCTGGGCAAGCTCCGCCAAGTCCTCAATTGGCTTAGCCTCCAGTTCACTCAGTATTTTGGTGGTGAACGATTGTACGCATTTGAAGAAGTCTTTCCTGACTATCTCGCCCCATTCCCCGAACGAGGAGATGAATTCTGCCATCAGTTTGTCAGCATCTGGATTGGCCTGACGCATGTCGATGTACTTTTCTGGCCTTCCGGAATCTTGGTAATTAAATCAAAGAAGAAATAACAAAAAATGCAAACAACGGAACGAATTAAAAGATGATAAAATAAAATCTACCTTTGGCACTGGACGATTTCCTGAAAACTGGCAAACTCTTCAAGTACTTGGTCTTTTTGTCAGTTTGTTGTCTTTTCTTTTCCTCGAACTTTGAAAATCCAGGTACCTGCGCCTTTGACTGTTCTGAACTACCCTGTCGGGATTTTCTCTGCCGTACTTGGTCCATGTGATTTCGGTAACATTTCGAACAATATCCTAGAAAAATAAAAACATACATATATTTGAAACAGCATCGTGTTTAACGGATATATTACCTTCCCAGTCAGCGTTACCGAAGAACCCACAACCGGTCTTACATTTCAAATCCGCTTGATTTATCCTCAAAGAGGGCTGCTTAGTCGCGTACATTATGTACTTGTAGGATCGCTGTAAATTTAATATAGGCATCTTGAAGCTTATCTAACCCTAAATTCTTAACTAACAACTTAAATCTACGAAAGTCTTTGGTCCTTTATGAATCAAGGTAAAACCTTTACCTTGATGTAGCGCACTTTTAACATTAACCCATACTTTCACGGATTTTTCAAATAGGATTTTCACATTACAGTGAAAATCGTTTGGATACACGGCTCAGATTTCTGCTACGGAACAGAGCTACCATGGGGGCACGAAGCTGTGGTCGTGTGCACATAGGTTCAGTTCTTTCATCAACATCTGCACTATAGGGAATTGGGGGAATTTCAAGAACGCCGTGACTTCCTTCGATCCTTGATTTTTCGTCAAGAAATCACATTGTAAGTGTGAAGAAAACGTTAAACATTCACCAGGATCAGCCATTTGTGTCACGCAAGACGGTTTAATTCTATTCCCGACAGATTGAAGAAGAAAATTTTGCGAGTCGGATAGGAACAGCTTTAACACTTTGTAACTTCTCGGAATTAAAACGGCACTCCGACAGATTGAGATAAAGGATCAAACGTAGACAAGTTGACGATGTCTCTTGAATAATAATGTTTGGAACTAACTCAGATTTAGGAAATAGCAGCTTTATATCTGTTGCTAGATAACGATTTCCACATACGCCTGAGTTTGAACTTTATCAAGTGATAAGAGCTGAGCACACAAGGTTAAATGTCTGAAGATACAAAGTGGGTACATGGACTTTCTGACGTCTTTGTTAAGTCTACACATCATGTGAAATCAGGGCAACTGTACACAGTGATAACGGAATGAAAATTATTACCACATGGTGATTATTTATTTATGACAGCTGAAAAATGAATCTGATACTTTGTCGGCCTCTTAAGTTTAATTTTTGTTGGCACTTAGGCAAATTTACAAAGATGTTTCTGAGAGTAATCAATATCTTTATTGTTAATGAATATGTACACAATTTTCTAATTCGTCTCATTCATTTGAAAATGTTAATATTGATATATAGTTACAATACAATCAAAATATTAAGTTTGATAACATTCTGAGAAAAGCATTTCCATGATTATATTACGCAGTATAAATTAACCAAATTCCATGAAATATAAAAAATAATGATAGGCAAAAATAAATAATGGTGTGAACCCTAAGCTCTTACTGTAAATAAAATACAAAATTAAACACAGTAAATAAAAATTCATTGTTCTCTTTGGATAAACATGATTTGTTCAAGAGAATATTATAAGAAAATTTAATTGTGTCTTGTTTAGTGACGGTCCTCAAAAATTAATGTGGTCATATTTTGACAATGAAGGGGAACTCCTGTGATGAAGAAATTTCAAACCAAATGCTATTAGTTAATATTTCTTTAAATTAACTGATAAAAACAAACAGACGTTTTCTAATTTTTTACAAAACTAATTTTCTTAAAGTTACGACATTATGAGGTTTGTAAAATGGAATGTTATCAAATTACAACCTAAACACTGTGAGGAAAAATTAATTTTGCAAAAAATATTAAAAACTTGTTTGTTTCTATTAGTTGATTATGAACAAACTTATTTTTCAAATACAGCGCAACCTTTTTTGAGATCTCAAAGTCGATCACTTCTATTTTAATATTTTATTTTGTATATTTCGTTCGACTTTTTTTCATCCAGAAAATTGTCTATGTAGATCTAGAAATCATCCCCTAAAATAAAGTATGGGTCCCATATTGTCGTGAGTCATCACTGGTGTTATTAATAATTATCATCATGTCATCGTATCAAAAACAATAAATAGCAACAAAACTAAACTTCATGTTTTAATTTTAAATATGATAATCTCGAATTAAGTAATATATAATACAGTAACGATTTTTTTTTTATTGCGTCCATGATCAATTTATCTTAATAATTTCATTAGCAAATGGGAAAACTTACTATCTAACATAATTCTAGTGGAATTTATTCGAAACGTCTTTTAAAAAAATATTAATATTCTTTTTTATACATAGGTACTATTATTTATGTTTAAATTTTGTCTTCATAACTATAAAAGTTTATTAGACGAAAAACTTTCAAAATCATTTAACCATTACATATTTAAATTTAAATTTAAGAACCTTTTTAGGTCAATGATTAAAAAACTCAAATATATTTAAAAGTAAAGTAGAATGAAACGAAATATAGTAAATTAATTTATTTTGCCTTAGTAAATATTGGTAAATATTATACAAATATTTTATATACATTTTAGGTCATCAAAGTGTATAAAATAATATGCATGTCTCTAATCAGTAATTACCCAAAATGACATGAAAGCACAATCATTTCAATTATTTAAAAATATTAAAAAAAAATCTATTAAAAAGGATTATTCTTTAAAACATAGGATAAAAAAATAAACTGAATTTGTAAATAATTAACGTTTTTTATGGAACTGAAAAAATTATTTACTATTTACGTATTATAATAATAGTTTGAGGCTCATTTAAATTTTTATGCAATCTACTTTACTTCATAAAATAAGTCTATATGTGATCTCTATTATATTGTAATGGATTGAATGAATTCTTTGTACAATTCAGAAAATTGTATATCTAAACCTAGGACGATTTGATTTGTCTAAAAAAATTTCAGGAATTTTTCTCCAACTATAATAGGTTTATCTGTTGATAATGATACAAAACCGGAGTTTGCATATTAAGTTATTGTATTCCTGCACTATCAATATTGCCAGTTGTTTTAAAATCAACCTACACTGTACAGTTATAATAGGAAATAATTTAGTAAAATAGATAGCTTTTGTATAATTTAGCGACGGGTTATTTTAAAGTCATCATATTTTTTTGATGATTGTGGTCGATGTGCCAAACATTAAAAAACATTCCAAAATTAATAAAAAAATTTTACTCATTTTTGTTAAATATATAACTAATGTTAGGTACTAATTGTAAATATGTTTTTTAATCAACTGTTAGACAGTGAAACTAATGAAAAATAATTTACTGAACACAGATTGCTTTGCTATGACAACAATGTATTATTTTAAAATCACCATAATTTTTTATGTCGATGTGAATGAATTAAGCAATATTGGTATTTAGATATGTTACTAATTGTTTCATAGTTTATCTTATTTAAAACAATTAAATTTTCGTTTATGTGGAATGATAAGGCTCGTGGCAAACACGCACTCAGCAAAAGTAACTCGCGGTGTGGTGTAGAAATTGCTTTTTAATAACATTTTCTTTAAATACGAGATTTGACAACAATGCATAGCCCAGTACATAATTGTGCATGAGCTACGACTAAAGCTTATTGTTGTAAGAGATCACACTAGTTTGTCTAGAGGCGGGGTATGGAAATTACTAAAAAAAAGTTTAAAAAAATGTTTAATTTGAATGAATACACTTTGATACATGTTTCTAAAGGTCAAAGATAGCCTCTGTATAAATATGACCCCCATTAAAAGTTACACCCTGTATAAATATTTATAACATTTGATTCTAATAACTTTTCAAGTAGTTTTTTCAATTATTAGATTGCTGAAAGGAAAAGAACTGTTGGGTTTATAACGAAGAAAAGCAATTTACTTGTTTGTCTTAAAATGTTATCTGTACAAATAAATAACTGCTGTAATTGTAAAAACAAGCTTAATAATTGTTTAGTATTAATTTAAAGTACTACGAAATGATTGAAAACACTTCGGTACTTTCTACGAAAATGACAAATTATTAATCTAATACTATTTTTGATTAAAAAATAAATTCATCAGAAAAACCCAAGTATTTATTAGCTTTACTAAAATAATATAAATATATAGGTTGTATAACTTACTGAATGTAAGAAATAGTCAACTAAAAGCAATAAACGATTTGTACTTGTTTTATTTATAAATATTATTTGGTAAGTATAGAATAAATAACTTTTATATCTATGTATAACATTTATATACTTCATTATACTTAGTTACTTCACTCAGCAGTTTGATCCACATCAAGTTTTAAAAGAATAGTGCCATACATCGATTTGTTCACTACTATAAAATTGTTTCGATACAGAAATATACTCATAAGATAAAGTTAAACATAAAAGACTTACCTACAAACAATTAATTGGGGATATTATCAATTGATTACTTGAACAAAATGCCCTATATTGTACATGATATTTCAAATAAGGAAAATAATTCCAAAGGAATTTTTATATATTAGACAAAAAAAAATACATGCATATACTTACATATTCCAAGAAGGTATACAAAAAAAAGTAAATATCCACACTACGTACTATAATAATATTCAAGGGTCCACAATTGTTACATTTTTATTTTGACATTTAATTAACCAACAACCACCATTTTTGAGGTTAAAGAGTTAACTATTGACACTATTGACAGTTCACAGGTGACAATTGACAACTGATATTTGTATGTACTCCACACTGCATATTTGTATTTTGTGTTGCATAATCTGAATAGGGTACGAAAATGATATTTTGATCGATAAATTTTTAAAAATTGAACTGAAATTTTTGTTTAAGTAAATAATAATGAATAATCTCTTAAATATATTAAACTGAACAGAATTTTGTGCAAACTGATAATTCTTATTTTAATATCACGTTAAAAATACCTACCTGCTTGATGACACTGTAGTTTAATTGTATCAGAACAGAAAAGTAGATCTAATGCCTTTTACCCGCCTTTTTAACTTTGTTGTTTTCGGTTTCACAATTTCACATATTTACATTATACTGTTTTAAGTATGCTGTACTCTATGTAGTTTATTTTAGTTTTAAATAATACATATAGTTATTTAATTTAATATGAGTTATTATCAATTGTCCTTGGACAAAAAAATTTGTAAAATATGGAAAAAAGACAAAATTTGTAAAAAATTGAAGCGAAAAATGTTGTTTTCGAAACCTATAGAAAGTATTTTAGTTCGTATTTTGGAAAAGTTGAGAAGAATAAAAAGTTTAGAATGCATATATGTGGGACATAAAATTACCAAAATTTTAGATGAAGTAAGTACATTTTTTCTCTTAAGCATGGCTAATAACTTTATAACATTCAATTGAGCCTTATTAAATTCTAAATATCACATATTTCAAAATGAGAGACCATTACAGTATTTTTATTTTTAGGTAATAGGGAATGACTATTTTGGAACTTCACAGAACCGAAAGCGATTTTACCACGTAGTCAATAAAATAACTACCCAGTCTCGATTTGAATGTGTCTATCTTTCACTGTTATCTAAAGGCTATGACATTAAATCCATAATCTGGTTACAATGTGAAAGTTTGGATGAAAATACTCGTAGAAGGCTCTTACAAAATACCAACATGTTCCTGTTGCGTTATGTGGTAAAACCGTTAATTAAACATTTTTACCACCCCTTAAAAAATCACAAAGGTTATGAAATCAGATTCATTGAAAGATCAAAATGGCACCGTTTCCAACACAAAATCCTAAATGAACTCTTACGATTGAAATTTCTAACGTTAGTAACCGATAAATTTCTGTCTCGAGGTGAATTGAAATTATTTCCTAAAACATCCTGTGATTCCCTAGAATACAGACCGATAATATATCCAAAACAATACAGATCACCTGTTACTAAAGCTAAATTTAGATGTTTATCTAGAAAAATTGAAAAACTGGCAAATACTTTTAGTAAAATTGGAAATGGTTCTCTATTTATGTTTTGGAGAAGCTACTGCAAGCAAACCAAGGGGCAAACTATCTACGGCATAAAACTAGATATCAAAGACGCTTTTGGATACGTTAACATCGACACAGTATGTAATCTTATAAAACGAAGCAATTTTAGTATATCCGATAAACAATTTATTATAAATCATATTCGACATCAGTATGTTACGTTTCATAAAAAGTTGTATCGCTGGAACCACGGGTTATTACAGGGTGATCGCCTTTCTTCCAGTCTATGCAACTTGTACATGAGCAATTTTGAGAAAGAGCATTTACAAGAATTTTACCAAGCTGGTTGTTTTCTGCATAGAATTGTTGATGATTATTTCTTTTGTTCTGTACGAAAAGATGAAGTGGACAAATTTGAAGGCAAAGTTAAGAGCGTCTTTCAATTAAACGAGACAAAAACTCAGAGAACTGATGAAGATAATTCTGAATTACCATATTTTGGGCAAATTTTTAATCTGCGTACTAGACAGGTAAGTAAATACTACAGCTTTAAAAAGGATTGTCCCATTCGACATAAGTTTAGGTTTTGGAATTGTAAGAACTGGATTCCCGAAAAGTCTAAAAAGAATATTATTTCGAGATCACTACAGTTTGCTTATAATAATCACTGTTTTAAGAAACTTGAACTGAACACGGCTTTCAATAGGGAAGAGACAGTTTTAAAGAATTATTTCGAAGGTATGGTGTTCATCGCTTTTAAATTTGATGCTGCCGTTATGGCCATTCGGGAGTTTAAACAAAAGGCGAGCGATATGCCTTTTTTGACAGACGTTTTAGAGAAAGTCGTGTTTGAATACAGCAATATAATTTGTTATAAAATCAAGCAATGCAAGGGCAAATACTTTAGTGGCAGTATTACTTATATGCTGTTGAAAAATATTGCTTATAGGGCTTTCATACTCGTTTTTAAGAGAAGGAATGAATTTTACGAAAGTGTAATTCGTTATATTAAAAAAAAATGTTTGTATCTTAAACTGGAGATATTTTGTGTGCCACCAAATGTTTTTACCAGGTTGCCTGAAGTTTTTAAGAACGTTTGTGTAAATAGAAAAGCAATAATTTAACTAAAACATTTTTTGTTGTATACTTATATCTTTTTTTAAGAAAAATGTACCTAATTATTTTATGACATTGAAATTTGTTGTTTTATTTCCTTCTTTAGTGAAATACATGTAATATTTTTACTGTTTGGGTTTTTTCACTCCTTTCCAAGAAACACGTACTGAAAATTTTTTTTTTGGAAAAATTTAATTTCAAACGTGAATAGCGAATTTATTCTTTTCGCTTATATTTTTTTAAATTTCAATATTTAAATACAAATTGACAAATTTGGTAGATAGTTGGCATTATGAATAAACAATAAACATGTAGTAAAAAGTAGCCGATTTAAATATTGGTATCTTAAATATTTATGTATTTGCGTAAATATTAACAATATATAATGCACATTTTTGGAATGTTCAGTTAGCACCAGCTGCTATCTGCTGTGGTTCCAACGACATAAAATGTATGTCGGAATCTTCCACTGGAATGTATATGTCAGAAATTATATTCTTTGGCATGGTTTTAACTTCCGTAGACATGCTTTCGGACCACTTGTACGGTCGTAGTTTATTCTAAAAAAATATATGATTTTAATTATAAACGCATAATTAAATATTTGTACCCTCGTACCTTAATATAAACTTTTTCCTCATACCTTCGCCTCGTAGATCCAATAGTGAGAGAAACGGATTCGGTGTACCAAATTGGGATTGGGGCAAGTGTTATATAACATTTGGTGGTATATCTAAAAAGGTACATTGAAAATTAAACGGTACTAACATTTTGCAAAATATATAGTTACCTTTTAGGTGCAGATCCAGTGTAGTCGGTTCTGGAGTCTGTAACGATACTTGTTTCAGATTTTTCTATTAGCGATTCATGAGTTCGACTGAAAAAAAAAAAAAAAAATTGATTTTCTAGTGAACTATATGTATTGAAAAATAACGTACACTTTCACATTTCTATGTACAGTGTGAACGAAGATCTCATACTCTTTACTTTTTATTAAAGCTGGCACATATTTCTTACGCTTTTCTACCAATGTCTTTGTCATTTTCAAAATTATAAAGCAAATAATAATGGTTCAGCAATGAGCCTATTTGTAGCTCGTTTGTAGTACATACTACATTTACCTACTGTCATGAATATTTCTTTTTACGTTGTTGATTAAAAAAGTCTAAAACTTTTTGCATATAGGTACTTCCTTTGATTGTATTGTAAGATAAAAAAGGTTAATACAAAACTAATTTTATTCCTAGCAGCTATTCTTTTCTCAATTTTGTTTATTTTTTTAAACTGAAAAGTACATTTTAATAACAAAAATTTGAAGGGGGCAAATTATTAAAAAAAAAGGTGGGTCTGCAAAGAAATAAATGGGTAAAATTTGTCATACATATTAATACTGATCTGATTGTTTTTACTGAATAATGATAAACACTGATATCATTCCTAAAAATACAGCTAATTTAACATGTTTTATCATTTAAGCTTAAACAAATAAAAATTTAAACCCACTAAACACGCAGATACTGTTGTATACAATAAAAAATGCATTTTACCTAGAATTTTCTTTTTCCATTTTTTGATTTTCTACGTCCCGGTTCTTTGATATAGAGGGTGTTTCTGTACCCCCTTGACCTGAAATGAAATAAACGCCAGATCAATAATAAATATTATAAATTCTTACTATCAATAAGAAACACATAATTTACTGTAAATAGATCATTTACACAAAGATAAATTACATGTTATCTTGAGATATGATTGTATTTGTAGAATAAATAGGCACTGTGGTTTCATTTAATAAAAGATGATAATATTAAAGTTTATGTGTATTTTACATAAATTTAAATATGTATAGGTACTCATAAAGTGAAAATGTATATTTTCCTATTAAATTCAAAGGACATGGAAAATATTTTAAAATCCTATAAAAAGTTTTATTGATATTAATGATGTGACATATATAAGAGGCATTGACCTATAGTTTAGGTATTACGACCGATAGAACTATTTTTTATAACATACTAGTGGTCATACCACTTTGGCCAAACCTAAGTCATGATTGAAAAATAATATCGTGAACCCATTAATTTATTTATATTCGTGATTTTATACCCATATACTTTTTAAATCATGAGTTAGTAGTTTTATTTATTAAACCCTTCAAATATTTGTATTTTATGCTCGGGGACAACCGAATATCGGTAAAAAAATTTAGTTCAAAATTATTTTAGGTATTTACAGGTAATTGTTATAAAATAAAATCGAATTGTGATTGCGGTTGCTTTTCCTTTGAAGGATTTTTATCACAAGAAATGGTGACATCATTTAAATATACTAATATGTGTATTTTGTGCATTTTATTTCCCAATCTTTGTTTATATTTGTCGCTCTACCATGACATGTTCAATTATATTTCTAAAGGCTTATAGGAAATGGCAAAATAAAATTGAACCTAAATATGTAGCAAACCGAGAGGTTGAAGAACGAGATTTGAGGCAAAAAAGCGGTGTTGCCAAGTCAGATTTGTTTTTAAATGCAACTATGATATATATTCCTGATTTGATTAATTTTATTAGGAATATGACCATTTCACTATCCCTAAGTTTTTGTCGTATGACTTGTTTTTTTATTCTCATTTGTCAACAGACTTTCAAATCAAATTTTCGCTGGTAAAAAATTTTTTATTACAAAATCCTCCATAACTTATATAGTCACATATTTTGCGTACGATTTTTTTTACTTACAGGGTGTTCATATTTGATGGGGAACACATCTGTAAAATTTCGGTGGGGCGTACGATTTCAGTATTTTTTTTTAATACATGGTGATGCTGTTACTATGCGGCACTATCACTTTAAACCCTGGCATTTAAATAAAAAGTTGTATGTGAAAATATAACTGTTATTTTACGTGCAAAATAATTTTGAAAAATGTACTTATTTTACTTATTATTTTTGAAGAATAAGTTAAACACGTGACAACATTGTTTTAAGCACGCGACGAGCAGCCTCTACCTCATTGGTTTAGTTTATGAATACAGTGATTCACAACTTATCCAAAAAAAAAAAATGGGAATAAAAATAGTCGTCGTAAAAAAAAATTGTAATATTTTCAACCCCTACATCGCTCGGCTACTGTAGTCTCTTGCGTCATTTGCGTTGTGCGCTGTGCGTCAATGCGCTTTCTTTTCACGTCCAAGCGATTCCGAATCGAATGAAATCCGATTTTGGTGTTAACGTTTTGCGATATAGTGTTTACATTAGTTTTCCAAGTGTCAAATTGTCAAATTTTATTAATTAAAATCACAAATTTATTAATTAGTAATAACAATAACGGCAAAAACTGATATAAAATAGGTGTTATAAAATTTTATTTATTTCTTTTTTGGGAAAGAAATTCTTTTAATTTTTTGTCCGTTCATTTTTTAGTACACTTTGTCGCCGTGCCGGTCGCCGAGTGCATGCTTTGCCTTCAGCAAGGTCAGGTTTTACAGTGGACCAGTTTCCAGTGCCGTGCAGAACTGTATTTTTAAATCATTTTCGAACTGCCCTTTTTGATTTTTTTTACAAAATTGTAATTGTAAGAGTCCCCTGTACAATCTATTTTTTTTGGATAAGTTCTGAGTCACCCCTGTATAGTCGTTTACATCAATATTTTTCACAACGTTGAACCTATTTATAGGTGCATGATGATTAGAGGACTATAAACATTTAGTAACATCCCTCGTAAATACTAATTCCGTAAATAAAATTAAAAACAAACATTTTAACTGCTGCAAGTCTATAGATTATAAATTTTATGTGAGTGATATCACCTGTGAGAATAAATGTGTACCTATACTGTTGCATTGGATAAAAACAAATGTGGCATATCTCTGAAAGTTTCCTATACAATACAATATTATTTAAAGATATTAACAAACAAAATTTCTTAAATACAAGCTGTACCCAATCAAATCGAGTTACAAATATGATAAGAGCGACTAAACACACTTCGTAAATAAATGAATCAATGATTAAGTTCTTAGAATTAAACCTACCTACTTACCATGTTTGTAAGATTTGTCCCCGTGTATTAGATCACTGTTTCCTATTTCGTTTTGTATAAAATTAAATGAATGTGCCTTCATGAAGTCTGTCTTGTTTGGTATTTCGTGTTTGGACTTCATATTCACTGGATTATCTAACGAAAACACAAATTTTACCTATCCTTCGATTTTAACCGTTTGCTCCGGACATCTGATTCAAACTGATTCGGTTTTTCTGTTGTTGACTAACGATGAATCGTTCGTGTGCTAACCGACAAATTCTTTGGAAATGCGGTAAGTGCGATTGGGTGTCTCATTCGGTCCACCGGCTATACCAGCTCATTTAACAACAATAGGTGACGTCAGACTGTGTTTGTCATAGAATTCCGAGATACCTGTTGGATTCGGGGACGGGACGGTTACTGCAATGTGTATTTTTGCCGAGGAAATTATGCAAATCAGCGCAACTGGCTGTTTTAGTTTATTATCGCTGTAATTGGGAACGTGGGCAACTGTTCTAGGTCAGAGTAGCGTCAACAGGTGTTGCTTAATGGCTAGGAGAGTAAATAAATTGCATTTGTAGGCGACATTGCATTGTACAGGTTGTTACGAAATTATCGTGCTAAACTGTAGCAGAATATGCATTTCGGACAAAAAATTTACTACGGAAATGGTTCAAATTGGCCTGTTTTCAAGGGATACTGCGAATCTGTCGTAGATAGAACAAATCTGATACACAAGTTTACAGCTCATTTTTTCGAGAAAATAACAATGGCGCAAACCGCATCTCTCTATTTGTCACCGTTTTCGAGCTACAGGGCGTTTCTCGATTTTTGGCTAAACGGACTGTGCCCTTTTCTCGCTTCCCTTTCAAGATATCTTCAAACGGTTTGAACATTCTACGGGCACATTTTTGAGATACATTCGATGACAAAAATAAATGTGATAATATTTTTAGTGTCTGTGATATGACCCCAACTTGTGTTTTTTTATGTGGAACACCCTGTATTTTATTTTACATTATGGAAATACTAGTGACGTCATCAATTATATTTTTTACCCTTTTTTCGTGTTAAAAAGCTGTCATCATCGGTAGGCATTTAATTGGGCCTTATTTTTATGAACATACATTGAACAGCGTGAGTTACCTAAATTTCCTACAAGAAGAACTTCCAGCATTTCTGGAGAATGTCCCTCTAAACATTTTTCAGTTTCTGACATGTTTCAGAAACGTTTCCATTTTTCTTGAAACGTTTCATAAAAAATCCATGCAACGTTCTGGTAACGTTCTAGAAACCCANTTCGGACAAAAAATTTACTACGGAAATGGTTCAAATTGGCCTGTTTTCAAGGGATACTGCGAATCTGTCGTAGATAGAACAAATCTGATACACAAGTTTACAGCTCCTTTTTTCGAGAAAATAACAATGGCGCAAATCGCATCTTTATTTGTCACCGTTTTCGAGCTAAACGGACGTGCCCTTTTCTCGCTTCCCTTTCAAGATATCTTCAAACGGTTTGAACATTCTACGGGCACTTTTTTTAGATACATTCGATGACAAAAATAAGTGTGATAATATTTTTAGTGTCTGTGATATGACCCCAACTTGTTTTTTTTATGTGGAACACCCTGTATTTTATTTTAAATATGGAAAGACCAATGAACGTCATCTATTATATTTTTTACCTTTTTTTCCTGTTAAAAAGCTCTCTTTTTTCTAATAAATTTTTATTAGAGAAATTTGTCTGTATTATTTCCCGTTTAAAAACTATAAGCAATATCGTTCTAAAGAGTCTCAAAAGAAATACCACCTAAAAATTACATTAGCGGTGAAAGGATCAAGTAGTCGTTGGAAAATAATTGAATGTTCGTTGTTTAAAGTGCATAAATATCACAAAATACTTGTCATTACTCAATACGAACGTCAAACGTATAACTTTTGTGCTTACAAAATGTTTTCTCATTCAGAAATAACGAGCGTTCAAATAAAAACGTGGTCAAGTTGGTTCTGAAAATATGGACGTAGGGCGTAGCGTATAGCAAATGAACTTAAACGTCATCTGTCAAAGCGCTATATCGCCGCTATCAATTTGAATATTTTCGTTTTAAAAAGCGTTGAAAGTGGTGTTTTCTCAAGAACAAAAAGTGTTTATCATAGAGTCCTACTTTAGAAATGGACGCATCTTAGAAAATGTCTTTAATTCTTTGAGGAACAGGTGTGAAAAGTGCTTGGAACAAGGAGGGGGACACTTTCAGCAGCTGCTTTAATTTATTGTTATAACAAGGAGGGGGACACTTTCCGCAGCTCCTTTAATTGTTTGTTATTGTTATCACGATTATTCTTTAAAATAAAGTTATATAGTCATTAACGTTATTGAAACTGACAGCTGCTATACAGCTCGTTGAGAAATGAGGTTAAGTTGGTCGCTATAAGCTACTCCCTACGTCCAATGTGTCAGAGCCAACTTCGACCACGTTTTTA